TGTAGATCTACTGCATACTGTATGGTGTAACCTGTACTGTAGACCTACAGCATACTGTATGGTGTAACCTGTACTGTAGTTCTACTGCATACTGTATAGTGTAACCTGTACTGTAGACCTACAGCATACTGTATGGTGTAACCTGTACTGTAGACCTACTGCATACTGTATGGTGTAACCTGTACTGTAGTCCTACTGCATACTGTATAGTGTAACCTGTACTGTAGTTCTACTGCATACTGTATGGTGTAACCTGTACTGTAGACCTACTGCATACTGTATAGTGTAACCTGTACTGTAGATCTACTGCATACTGTATGGTGTAACCTGTACTGTAGACCTACTGCATACTGTATAGTGTAACCTGTACTGTAGTTCTACTGCATACTGTATGGTGTAACCTGTACTGTAGTGCTACTGCATACTGTATGGTGTAACCTGTACTGTAGACCTACTGCATACTGTATAGTGTAACCTGTACTGTAGACCTACAGCATACTGTATAGTGTAACCTGTACTGTAGACCTACTGCATACTGTATGGTGTAACCTGTACTGTAGTCCTACTGCATACTGTATGGTGTAACCTGTACTGTAGTTCTACTGCATACTGTATAGTGTAACCTGTACTGTAGACCTACTGCATACTGTATAGTGTAACCTGTACTGTAGACCTACTGCATACTGTATATTGTAACCTGTACTGTAGACCTACTGCATACTGTATGGTGTAACATGTACTGTAGACCTACTGCATACTGTATGGTGTAACCTGTACTGTAGACCTACTGCATACTGTATAGTGTAACCTGTACTGTAGTTCTACTGCATACTGTATGGTGTAACCTGTACTGTAGACCTACAGCATACTGTATAGTGTAACCTGTACTGTAGTTCTACTGCATACTGTATGGTGTAACCTGTACTGTAGACCTACTGCATACTGTATGGTGTAACCTGTACTGTAGTCCTACTGCATACCGTATAGTGTAACCTGTACTGTAGATCTACTGCATACTGTATGGTGTAACCTGTACTGTAGACCTACAGCATACTGTATGGTGTAACCTGTACTGTAGTTCTACTGCATACTGTATAGTGTAACCTGTACTGTAGACCTACTGCATACTGTATAGTGTAACCTGTACTGTAGTCCTACTGCATACTGTATAGTGTAACCTGTACTGTAGACCTACAGCATACTGTATGGTGTAACCTGTACTGTAGACCTACAGCATACTGTATAGTGTAACCTGTACTGTAGTTCTACTGCATACTGTATGGTGTAACCTGTACTGTAGACCTACTGTATGGTGTAACCTGTACTGTAGACCTACAGCATACTGTATAGTGTAACCTGTACTGTAGTTCTACTGCATACTGTATGGTGTAACCTGTACTGTAGACCTACTGTATAGTGTAACCTGTACTGTAGACCTACTGCATACTGTATGGTGTAACCTGTACTGTAGACCTACTGCATACTGTATGGTGTAACCTGTACTGTAGTTCTACTGCATACTGTATAGTGTAACCTGTACTGTAGACCTACTGCATACTGTATAGTGTAACCTGTACTGTAGTTCTACTGCATACTGTATGGTGTAACCTGTACTGTAGACCTACTGCATACTGTATAGTGTAACCTGTACTGTAGTTCTACTGCATACTGTATGGTGTAACCTGTACTGTAGTGCTACTGCATACTGTATAGTGTAACCTGTACTGTAGTTCTACTGTATGGTGTAACCTGTACTGTAGACCTACTGCATACTGTATGGTGTAACCTGTACTGTAGTTCTACTGCATACTGTATAGTGTAACCTGTACTGTAGACCTACTGCATACTGTATAGTGTAACCTGTACTGTAGTTCTACTGCATACTGTATGGTGTAACCTGTACTGTAGACCTACTGCATACTGTATAGTGTAACCTGTACTGTAGTTCTACTGCATACTGTATAGTGTAACCTGTACTGTAGACCTACTGCATACTGTATAGTGTAACCTGTACTGTAGTTCTACTGCATACTGTATATTGTAACCTGTACTGTAGACCTACTGCATACTGTATGGTGTAACCTGTACTGTAGACCTTCTGCATACTGTATGGTGTAACCTGTACTGTAGACCTACTGCATACTGTATGGTGTAACCTGTACTGTAGTCCTACTGCATACTGTATAGTGTAACCTGTACTGTAGACCTACTGCATACTGTATAGTGTAACCTGTACTGTAGACCTACTGCATACTGAATGGTGTGGCTGATGAATCTCAATATGAAAAAGGAACGTAAATCTACAGCTTTACGGAAGTGTTCTGATTCCACCTTGTTATGACTGATGGCAATGTTCTGATTCCACCTTGTTATGACTGATGGCAATGTTCTGATTCCATCTTGTTATGACTGATGGCAATGTTCTGATTCCATCTTGTTATGACTGATGGCAATGTTCTGATTCCATCTTGTTATGACTGATGGCAATGTTCTGATTCCATCTTGTTATGACTGATGGCAATGTTCTGATTCCATCTTGTTATGACTGATGGCAATGTTCTGATTCCATCTTGTTATGACTGATGGCAATGTTCTGATTCCACCTTGTTATGACTGATGGCAATGTTCTGATTCCACCTTGTTATGACTGATGGCAATGTTCTGATTCCATCTTGTTATGACTGATGGCAATGTTCTGATTCCATCTTGTTATGACTGATGGCAATGTTCTGATTCCATCTTGTTATGACTGATGGCAATGTTCTGATTCCATCTTGTTATGACTGATGGCAATGTTCTGATTCCATCTTGTTATGACTGATGGCAATGTTCTGATTCCATCTTGTTATGACTGATGGCAATGTTCTGATTCCATCTTGTTATGACTGATGGCAATGTTCTGATTCCATCTTGTTGTGACTGATGGCAATGTTCTGATTCCATCTTGTTGTGACTGATGGCAATTCCATTTGTCTAGGCCCAGATTTGTTTGTGCCTGGAATAGCCTGTGAATATTTCATTCGTATGTTTTGATGGTTACTGAGGAGGGCAGATGGGTCAGGTTGCCTAACCCCTGGGAGCTGGCATGGTTCGACTTGTTCTTCTTCTTCTTCTTCTGCCCCCAAGGCTGAACCCTCTACAAAGGCTGAGGACTTAGGTTGTTACCATACCATACAGCTCTGCTAGACATGCACAGCTTTCACTGACTATGTACCTCAAGAGGCAAACATAAACAAGAGTTTGTTGGAATGCATGACTTTTATGATTTACTGTGTGGTAAATGTAACTGTAATAGCTTTGATTTGTACGTGCAATACAGTATGTATCCTGTAGTATGCGAGTGTTTGCACAGCATTTATGCATCTGAAACAAATCCACTCTGCTCCTTGAGTGGTTTTCCTTCCTTTCCCCCCATTAAGTGTCATTAGAGAGGGCTCGGGAGGGGCTCGGAGGGATGGCGCTGGCATGCTGTGCCATGTTCAGTGTCAGAGCCACATCAGACCTGTTTCCTGTGATCTAGCCCCTCTGAGGAACACTGCTTCCTTCCTCGCCCCGTGCCTCGTTTCAAAGTCAGGAGGCTGCTTCCTGCTCTCTCCTCTCTCCTCTCTGCTTCCTGCTCTCTCCTCTCTCCTCTCTCCTCTCTCCTCTCTGCTCTCTGCGCTCCTCCTCTCGTCCTCTCTTCCTCCTCTCCTGCTTCCTGCTTCTCCTCTCTGCTCTCTGCTCTCGTCCTCTCTGCTCTCTCCTCCCTCCCCTCTGCTCTCTCTCCTCTCCATGCTCTCTCTCTCTCTCTCTCCTCTCTCTCATCTCCTCTGCTCTCTGCTCTCGCTCTCTCATCTCCTCTCCTATCTGCTCTCTGATCTCTCCTCATACCTCTCTCTCTCCTCCTCCTCCACTCTGCTTCTCCCTCCTCCTTCCTCTTCCTCTCTTGCTTCTGCTCTCTCTCTCTCTCTCTCTCTGCTTCATGCTTCCTGCTCTAGCTTCTCTCCTCTCTTCCTATCTCCTCTGGTTATGCTTCCTGCTTCTGTCTACTGCTCTTCTCTGCTACATCTCTCCTTTCGCTCTCTCGCTCAGGACGGGCATCTCTCGATACTCTGCTCTCGCGAATCAGCGACTCTCACTCTCTCTACAATGCTTCCAATCAATCTCCAGCAATCTCACTTCTCTGCATCTCGTCTCTCGTGCTTCTGTTCTCTCTCTCCTCATCTCCTCTCTCCTCTCTCCTCTCTCATGCTCTCATCGTCTGAAGAATCTGCTCTCTTCTCTCTCCTCTCTGCTCTCTCCTTCTCTCTCTCTGCTCTGCTCTCTCTCTCCTCTATCCTCTCTCCTCCCTCCACTCGCCTCTCCTCTCTCTCTGCTTCCTGCTCTCTCCTCTCTCCTCTCTCCTCTATGCTCTCTGCTTCCTGCTCTCTCCTCTCTCCTCTCTGCTCTCTCCTATCTCCTCTCTGCTCTCTGCTTCCTGCTCTCTCGTCTCTGCTCTCTCCTCTCTCTGCTCTCTCCTCTCTCCTCTCTCCTCTCTCCTCTCTCCTCTCTCTCCTCTCTCCTCTCTCCTCTCTCCTCTCTGCTCACTCCTCTCTGTTCTCTGCTATCTCCTCTCTCCTCTCTCCTCTCCCTCTCTTCTCTCTGCTCTCTGCTCCCTGCTCCCTGCCAATGGACAGAGGGGGCACGCAGGCACATTCCGTTACCATGGTCGACGTTATGGAAGATGTAGAAACTCCTCTTGCCATCCTCTAAAGTTGATCTCTTGGCTCCTCGTGATGGTCTAAGCAAATTTGATTAGATGAAAACACACAAAGCATGTTTTTGAATTCGAGAAAATTGTGATATGATGATGTACAATTGAATTACCTCTCAATTGTGTCCTTTTTTAAATGAGGAACTGTCAACTCAATTGAACCTGCTGTAGTCCAGTAGTTTCTGAAGCCGCAGTAACAGCAGTCTATAGGTCTGTCTCTGCACTGGGGTGTTCAGTAATCCAGTAATCCACTGTGTCCTCTCAGGCTATGCGGCTGCGAAAGTTAGCCCAGCAGATCACCAGCTGCAAGCAGATCATTGAGAGATCCTCATCCCTCATCACACAGGCCGATCACACCCTCAAGGAGACAGACCACGCCCGCTTCCTGCAGACAGCCAAAAGCATCAGCGAGAGGTGAGCGTTCAAGTCAACTGATTGTTGTGATAATGCTCCACAAACAGTCTCAACTGACCTGAGTCCCAGGTTGTAATAAGATAAATGTAATGTAAATTATATATCGTTGTGTTTTAGAGTGTCCATGGCAACAGCATCCTCTCAGATCCTGATACCAGAGATAAACCTGAATGACTCCTTTGATACGTTTGCGTTGGACTTCACAAGGGAAAAGAAGATGCTGGAAAGCTTGGATTACCTCACAGGTGAACTCTATTCCACCTGTGATCCATCTTTTCATTCAGAATTATATTGAGAACATATCTATAACTCGGGTCTATCTGAAATGGGACATTCTGGTACAGTGCAATTTCTCTGTTTATCTATTTTCTCCAGCAGTCAAATATAAAAACAGCTACACTAGGTTCTCATGTCAGAAGTTATGCGTCGTGTAAATCAAATCAAATTGTATTTGTCACATGCTTCGTAAACAACAGGTGTAAACTAACAGTGAAATGCTTACTTATGGGTCCTTTTCCAACAATGCAGAGTCAAAGACAAAATAAATACATTGACTGTGGTCTCGACTGAGTAATACCGCTGGTGCTTTGTATAGTGCTTCCTTGGGACAACAAAATGCTCACACGTTTAGAAGCTGCAATTCGGGGTTCGTTTCACAGTTTAATTAATTGGATTTTGATTGTTCTGGTTTTTAGGGCATTCTCCACTCTAGGGTATGTAATTTAACCAACACAATGAAGTCACAGCCACCTGCAAGAGTGGACTAGAATTTATTTACCAACCCAAAAATCCAACCCCTTTTGGTCATAAGAAAATAGTGATTTTGTGTAAATCCAATGTACTGTAGTGAGTGTTATGTCTACTGTTCATCATTGTTGTCCTTGATAACTGACACACACCGGAGACGTGAATAAAAACAACTACATTTTTTCTATTTGCAGCACCAAATCCCCCAATAATCCGGGAGGAATTATGTACATCGTCGTACGACACCATCACCGTTCACTGGACGTCAGATGACGAGTTCTGTGTCGTCTCCTATGAACTTCAGTATGCCATCTTCACTGGACAAGCCAATGTTGTCAGTATGTACACAAAGCATGTCTAGAGCGCCTCAGTACAGTATGCCTGTTGTGGTGTAAACTGTTGAAAGCTAGACAATCTGAGAGCAACCATAAATAAAGAGCCTCTTACTGTGAATAGCTTTGGGGGCATTATTACATTATCCTGATCAAATAAAGCATTTTTCATTTCAGAAGTGGGGGGCAACAACCATGCTTTCCTTTCATTGGGTGATAAGATAATAATAAGGTATCAGAGATCTCTACTAGAGACTGATCTAGGCCAGAGTAGATCGTCTGAGTCGGACTGGATTCCAATCCAGATGCAGATTATGGGCTGAATATTTTCCCCGTGGCTCATGTAAGTGGCAGACTGTTGGAACAGATCACCCTAGTAGGGTTGCAGCTCAATCAAGCAATTGGCCCTCTTCTGCCCCAGTGCCTGTTCATACTAGAGTGAATTGGTCATGTATATTGTGTACGATGGGTCACACATTCCTAGAGAAATAAGAGGTTATGACAACACGGGGCGTTAGAACTACCACATCTAGATTTGACGACGACAAAGGATTCATTGGAGGTGTTCTTATCTCAACGAACGTCTGTTACATTGTGTCTTTGTTACAATCCAGTGGTTGTATTTCCTTTTATTTTGCTGCTGATTAACTGACTGACTGTGTCTGTGGTCTAGGTTTGTGTAACTCTGCTGATAGCTGGATGATTGTGCCCAACATCAAGCAGAACCACTACACAGTGCATGGACTCCAGTGTGGCACCAAGTACATCTTTATGGTCAAAGCTATCAACCAGGCAGGGAGTCGCAGCAGTGTGCCTGGGAAGCTCAAGACCAACAGTATGTCAGCGTTTCCAATAGCTGTACCGTACTGACATCGTTAAGCGTCTTTGGAGATATTGACATATGGAGATATTTACCATTGTTTACTGTTAAATTATAAACTGGGTGGTTCGATCCCTGAATGCTGATTGGCTGAAAGCCGTGGTATATCAGACCGTATACCATGGGTATGACAAAACATTAGTTTTTACTGCTCTAATTACGTTGGTAACCAGTTTATAATAGCAATAAGGCAGCTCTGGGGTTTCTGATATATGGCCAATATACCACGGCTAAGGGCTGTGTCCAGGCACTCCACGTTGCATCGTGCTTAAGAACAGCCCTTAGCTGTGGTACAGTGCCTTCGGAAAGTATTCAGACCCGTTTACTTTTTCAACATTTTGTTATGTTACAGCCTTATTCTAAAATGAATTAAATACATCTAAAATCTCAGCAATCTACACACAATACCCCATAATGACAAACCGAAAACAGGTTTTTAGAATTTTTGGCAAATATATATATATATATATATATATATATATATATATATATATATATATATATATATATATACAGTGAGGGAAAAAAGTATTTGATCCCCTGCTGATTTTGTACGTTTGCCCACTGAAAAAGAAATGATCAGTCTATAATTTTAATGGTAGGTTTATTTGAACAGTGAGAGACAGAATAACAACAAAGAAATCCAGAAAAACGCATGTCAAAAATGTTATAAATTGATTTGCATTTTAATGAGGGAAATAAGTATTTGACCCCTCTGCAAAACATGACTTAATACTTGGTGGCAAAACCCTTGTTGGCAATCACAGAGGTCAGACGTTTCTTGTAGTTGGCCACCAGGTTTGCACACATCTCAGGAGGGATTTTGTCCCACTCCTCTTTGCAGATCTTCTCCAAGTCATTAAGGTTTCGAGGCTGACGTTTGGCAACTCGAACCTTCAGCTCCCTCCACAGATTTTCTATGGGATTAAGGTCTGGAGACTGGCTAGGCCACTCCAGGACCTTAATGTGCTTCTTCTCGAGCCACTCCTTTGTTGCCTTGGCCGTGTGTTTTGGGTCATTGTCATGCTGGAATACCCATCCACGACCCATTTTCAATGCCCTGGCTGAGGGAAGGAGGTTCTCACCCAAGATTAGACGGTACATGGCCCCGTCCATCGTCCCTTTGATGCAGAGAAGTTGTCCTGTCCCCTTAGCAGAAAAACACCCCCAAAGCATAATGTTTCCACCTCCATGTTTGACGGTGGGGATGGTGTTCTTGGGGTCATAGGCAGCATTCCTCCTCCTCCAAACACGGCGAGTTGAGTTGATGCCAAAGAGCTCAATTTTGGTCTCATCTGACCACAACACTTTCACCCAGTTCTCCTCTGAATCATTCAGATGTTCATTGGCAAACTTCAGACGGGCCTGTATATGTGCTTTCTTGAGCAGGGGGACCTTGCGGGCGCTGCAGGATTTCAGTCCTTCACGGCGTACTGTGTTAGCAATTGTTTTCTTGGTGACTATGGTCCCAGCTGCCTTGAGATCATTGACAAGATCCTCCCGTGTAGTTCTGGGCTGATTCCTCACCGTTCTCATGATCATTGCAACTCCACGAGGTGAGATCTTGCATGGAGCCCCAGGCCGAGGGAGATTGACAGTTCTTTTGTGTTTCTTCCATTTGCGAATAATCGCACCAACTGTTGTCACCTTCTCACCAAGCTGCTTGGCGATGGTCTTGTAGCCCATTCCAGCCTTGTGTAGGTCTACAATCTTGTCCCTGACATCCTTGGAGAGTTATTTGGTCTTGGCCATGGTGGAGAGTTTGGAATCTGATTGATTGATTGCTTCTGTGGACAGGTGCCTTTTATACAGGTAACAAGCTGAGATTAGGAGCACTCCCTTTAAGAGTGTGCTCCTATTCTCAGCTCGTTACCTGTATAAAATACACCTGGGAGCCAGAAATCTTTCTGATTGAGAGGGGGTCAAATACTTATTTCCCTCATTAAAATGCAAATCAATTTATAAAATTTTTTACATGCATTTTTCTGGATTTCTTTGTTGTTATTCTGTCTCTCACTGTTCAAATAAACCCACCATTAAAATTATAGACTGATCATGTCTTTGTCAGTGGGCAAACATACAAAATCAGCAGGGGATCAAATACTTTTTTCCCTCACTGTATATATATATATAAATATATATATATGAATTTGCTATGAGCTCAGGTGCATCCTGTTTCCATTGATCATCCTTGAGATGTTTCCACAACTTCATTGGAGTCTACCTGTGGTAAATTCAATTGATTGGACATGATTTGGAAAGGCACACACCTGTCTATATAAGGTCTCACAGTTGACAGTGCACATCAGAGCAAAAACCAAGCCATGAGGTCGAAGGAATTGTCTGTAGAGCGAGACAGGATTGTGTCGAGGCACAGTTCTGGGGAAGGGTACCAAAAAATATCTGCAGCATTGAAGGTCCCCAAGAACACAGTGTCATCCATAATTCTTAAATGGAAGAAGTTTGGAGTTGGCGCACCTAAAGACTCTCAGACCATCAGAAACAAGATTGTCTGGTCTGATGAAACCAAGATTGAACTCTTTGGCCTGAATGCCAAGCGTCACGTCTGGAGGAAACCTTGCACCATCCCTACGGTTAAGCATGGTGGTGGCAGCATCATGCTGTGGGGTGTGCCAAGCTTGTAGCGTCATACACAAGAAGACTCGAGGCTGTAATCGCTGCCAAAGTTGCTTCAACAGTACTGAGTAAAGGGTCTGAAAACGTATGTAAATGTGATATTTCCGTTTTTTTATTTTTTATAAATTTGCAAACATTTTGAAAAATCTGTTTTTGCTTTGTCATTATGGGGTATTGTGTGTAGATTGATGAGGGAAAACTATTTTATCAATTTTAGAATAAGGTTGTAATGTAACAAAATGTGGAAGAAGTCAACGGGTCTGAATACTTTCCGAGGGGTCTGAATACTTTTGAATTGGCCATATACCACACCCTCTCGGGCCTTATTGCCTAATTAATCTATGGTCAATTCACAGGTCAGCCATTCAAGTTGGACCCAAAGTCTGCTCACAAGAAGCTGAAGGTCTCCCATGACAACCTGACGGTGGAGCGAGACGAGACGTCGTCCAAGAAGAGCCACACTCAGGACCGCTTCACCAGCCAGGGCAGCTACGGCGTCACAGGGAATGTGTACATCGACAGCGGGCGTCACTACTGGGAAGCCTTGATAGGAGGGAGCACATGGTAAGAATATGTACCTGTGGTGCCTGAGATACGTCAGACTAGTACATATGGAGAGACAAGGGTGTGTGAGATTCAGATTGGGAGGTCCAATCACAGTCTCTGTTACACTATAATAAACTCAATCTTGAAATCTAAAATCTCTAGGACGCTAGGACTCCTGTCATTTCCCACAGGTGCTATTTGACCTCTAGTAGAGAGCCATTAACATTCAATATGCATTTTTTCTATCTTTCATCAGGTTTGCTGTGGGCGTTGCTTACAGGTCAGCGCCAAAACATGAGTGGATCGGCAAGAACTCGGCCTCGTGGGTATTATCTCGATGCAACAACTCCTGGGTAGTACGTCACAACAGCAAGGAGATGCCCATCGAGCCGTCCCCCCACCTGCGTCGCGTGGGGGTGTTGCTGGACTACGACGCTGGCTCCCTGGCCTTCTACGATGGCGCCGGCTCACAGCACCTGTACACGTTCGACATCGCCTTCGCCCAGCCAGTCTGTCCCGTGTTCAACGTGTGGAACAAGTGTCTGACTGTTCTCACGGGGCTGCCCATCCCAGACCACCTCGAGGGGACAGACTGCCAGGATTAACAGACCAGCTAATGGAACACAGAGACACAAAGGGAGCAGAACAGACTGACTACAGCCTCACCTGGCTGACTTTGTGTCCCACCACCTTGTATAAAACTGTATAATTAATAATTCTGTATAAAACAGAACAAAGCCATGGTGCCAGATAAGTCTCTAATCATCTTATAGAAGTAAATACATTTTTTGAATTATTTATGGAAACCATTTATTGGGTAAAACAACATTGTCCATTTTATTTCTTGCTTTGCACATTAATATACACTGCTATATTTATGTGTGTTGGTTTTGGGATGCGCTTAGAGAGGAAGGTGGACGTAACGTTTTGAAATTCAGTCAAACTTACAGTATTTTCATGCAGCCCTTAGATTAGTTTATTTCATTCTTACACATACAGTAGATTGTTTACCTTTGTCCATGGATCCATCGTAAGCAGCATGTTGATAAGTGTTTTATGTGTAACTTGTTGATTTTGTCATCATGACACCAGTTCCTCAGATTACAGAGCTGTTCTAACAGGAGGATTTGTCTACAGTCTTCTGTTTCATACAGGTGCACCAAGATCCTCTCTATGATTTTTCATATGTATTAGGATGATGTTTGTGAAAATAAACATGTTAAGAGTTATTTTAAAGAGTTCATTTATAGATTATTTTTTTTAATTCTATGATGTTAAAAAGTTGATTAATGGTGAAAATGTACATTTTAAATAAAAGCCATTTTAAGTGAAATTTCGATACACAAATCATGTATTAATTGTAATTAGATACATGTGCAATCTCTGTAAATACCTTACTGTTTTCTTCTCACATGTTGGCTCTGTATGTTCATATACATGTACATTTCAATTTGAGCAATTTGACTTTTCTCACTAGAATACATTCCTTGTTAAAAATGTAATAAGATTACATCAATTAAATGTGAATTGTAATGATAATGCTTTTTAATTGTCTGTTACCTAATCTTAATTGTAATGTTCATTTCATTCAGACACCACTGTAGGCAAAACAAAGAAAACAACTTGATATGTTTTGCCTTAGTTTCATTTCACCGATTTATAAGGTGTCATTAATGTTGGGATGCTGTATCTTTAAAAAAGGAGTGTCACTATTATTCTAAAGCACCATACAACAATAATTCATCTGTGACGAGATTCCTTCTGACATCTCTTTTTATCCTCAAGTAACATGGCTTGAAGACCACTGGACCCCGGTCCATTCAACTTGTAGTAGACTAAAACGGATTTGAATTTACCGTGACCTCACCATCAGACACCCTCTAGACATGGATCATGACAGAGCCCGAGTGCACGAACACAGCCCAGCTTGAATGATGTCACAGAGACCTCCATGGTTTGATTGGAGACATCTGTAAATATTTGTTTACAAAAAAATATTAAAGACTGTGAAAACGTATTGCAGGTCAATTTGATCAAATGTGCATTTGTGGTATTTACACAGTAGCGTAACATACATTTATTTGTTTAAATACAATTGTACACGGTGAAAATATAGGTATTTACACAGTAGCATAACATTCATTTATTTGTTTAAATAAAATTATACAGGGTGAAAATAGCAGGTGCAGTAGTTAGTCCTACCTAGTTTTCAGAATAAGATGTTTGTATGTTGGACTGTAGCTTTGTATTCAAAACGAATGCATAAACAGAGCTAAGGCAGGATGGAACGTATTGAATCTGGCCTTTAATCTTGGACAAAGTATTGGCCAAGATACTTGGCGGTTGTTTCAGTGATACGGTACTGGAGACAATCCCAAGAGAGAGGGATTTATAGAGATTCCATCCATGCTAACTGGTTAAGAAGTTATCTAAATCACTGAAAACATGGTTCAATATATCCCATTTCATTTATTGCATGAACATTTAGTCATTTCAGAGCATTGAGAGAAAAGTGGATTTGCACGCAATCTGACACAGAATGGGGTTAACAGCAGTCTGAATGCCCTGAGGCCATTATGAAGCAAAGATGGTGTTCAAATAATCATACAGTAACATGCTTTTCAAAAGAAGTAAGGAAACAAATGAATTGCTTCATCCGTACCATACGGTGTACTATTTCATGACTGATGACTGATCTTGAACATTCTAAATCTGTAGTCTCAAACACTATGTTTTTTTTAACATACTGTATTATGAATAACACATATAGGAAATACTTATTAAGCAAAAAATATCAGGTGATTTTATATCAAATTATTATTTGGAATTTATGATCGGATGTGGATTATATGTCTTGGATATACAGTACATTCACCATTTCCCAGGGAACAGCGAAGAAACATGAAACATATCAACGTTGGGCCAGAACATTTTATTTTCATTGACGATAAATTGGTTGTTCTTCTACCACAACAAAGAAATACCATTGTTTTAGAAGAACATTATCTGCGCAATCATGTAATTGAATTTGCTCCTTTATTCGCCCACTCTTTTATATCTTATGAAGATAAACATTTCACATAAACAAAAGCAGATTCTTTGGTTGAAAACAGCGCAAAAAAAACAACAGAGAAGGAAACGAAATTAGTGATATGTATGCCTAATACTTTTGTCATTACTAGATGCAGATCTCTGAAGTATCTTGGGACTTATCGATCCACGTCTAGACAGACTGCATGCTGGGGCAGAAACGGTCTAATACCCCGTCATAATAAAGGGATCCGCGGTTGGTTAGACACAACACATGGCGGTCTATGAGTCTGTCAGTCTGGTTCAAGGGTTCTTGCGTTCACAAAACATTCCACAGACAGTATTTTGGGATTGGTCTTTGTATAAGTGTCTCTTTTAAAAATGCATCCAGCACAACCTATGTTGACTTCCAAATCAGTACAGTTTGATATGGTTTTGTCTGATATTATTGTAATTCTGAGTGTCATACAAAATAGTTCTGTATGCCGAGTTATAGCCTTAGGTTGTAGAAAAATCAGTTATTGGATGGAAAATTAGATCCAGGGCTCCACCTAGTGGTATATGTCACGGTCTCTCTATGGTCGCAGGTACAACACACACATTACATTCTACCTACACATTACACATTGCAACATTGTCTTTATTTTATTTTTATTTTTATTTCACCTTTATTTAACTAGGTAAGCCAGTTGAGAACAAGTTCTCATTTACAACTGCGACCTGGCCAAGATAAAGCAGTGCGATAAACGGATGGCACTGTGATAGACTACATCCAATTTGCTGAGTAGAGTGTTGGAAGCTATTTTGTAAATGACATCGTCGAAGTCAAGGATCGGTAGGATAGTCAGTTTTACGAGGGCATGTTTGGCAGCATGAGTAAATAGGAAGCCGATTCTAGATTTAACTTTGGATTGGAGATTCTTAATGTGAGTCTGGAAGGAGAGTTTACAGTCTAACCAGACACCTAGATATTTGTAGTTGTCCACATACTCTAGGTAAGCCAAGATTTCTCAACTCAACTCCACCTGGAGTGGAGAATTCTTGGGTATCTGCCACCCAGGTGGAAGATACCAAAATATATTATAATAAAACTAGTTCTAGGAGCGATGGGCAACAGCAGTGAGTGCTTCTGTGCTGTCATGCAAATTGATGCTTTGGGTTGTCATTTCTCTGTTTGGCGAAACAATGTCAAAGAGTGTCCTCAATGTTACAGACATGGCAACTGCGTCGAAAAACACTGTTCACTAAATTATACCTCAGCATAAGCACTCAAGTATCGCCTTTATTTCTGTGTGCAACGTTTTATGCCTTTCAATGTTTCTACCAAAGAAGTCTGCATGTGTTCTGAAAGTAGTCATACCATTGGATGCTGTAGTCAGAGTCCTCCCCCTTTTTGGAACTCCGCCCTTTTTCCTGAACAGGAACTAGTCTGCTGCTGACGGGTTTCCACTAGATTTTTGTCTTCATTTAAGGTTAAGGCATAAGGTTATCAGTGTGGTTAAGGTTAGGGTTAAGGTTAAGTTTAAAATCAAATTTTAAGAAGATAAATAGCAGAAATAGGCGGGGTTTATGACTTTGTGGCTGTGGTAACTAGTGACGACCGTGCTGACGTTGGATGTTGCTGAGGAGGATGATTCTCTCCCGGATCTGACAGATAAAGAAAGGCGTGAAAAACTGTCACAGTGGGACCGGCGGACAGATGCCATGGCTCCTCTGACAGATAAACAAACGGACTCAGTTCTGGACATCCGAGCTGCATCTGAAACTCTCTCTATTCCCGCAGAGGTGAGCTGCGAGACAGGCGTTAGCTGGCTAACTGCTTGCTAATGCTAACAACCTAGCACTTAGAAGCTAGTTGACAGGTGCAAAGATCCATCCCAGAAAGCAAATAGATTGACTTCATTGTAGGATTGTCAGGACGGACTTGCGGATCATAACATTACCTAGTGTCACAACTCAACCTATCTAGCTGCCAGCTCAAATATCTACGTTAGCTAGCCAATGTTACTGTCTGCCACGTCGTTGCGTGAGTCTTTACTTTGTAGCCACTAGCCAGCTAGGCTAACTAGTTAGCCACTTGCCATAGGCTAGATAACTCTCACTAACATACCAGGCCAAGTGTTGAAGTCAGCATATCATAAGTGGCTCATGTCATGCCAATGTCATTGTAGTTAACCGCTCAAACCCCGTAGCTAACCTTAGCTAGCTTAACTGTTTAGCATTTTGAGATCTATGACAGGATTGTATTGATTGTGCCATTTGCTGGTCTAATTCAAGCTCCATTGAGGACTTGTGTAGCCTGACGTCCTGCTCTCTGCGGTCTTCATTCACGACAACTGTGCCAGCCTCCACAGAAGATGTCCTGCTCTCTGCGGTCTTCATTCACGACAACTGTGCCAGCCTCCACAGAAGATGTCCTGCTCTCTGCGGTCTTCATTCACGACAACTGCGCCAGCCTCCACAGAAGATGTCCTGCTCTCTGCGGTCTTCATTCACGACAACTGCGCCAGCCTCCACAGAAGATGTCCTGCTCAAGGGCTTTCAAATGCTTGGTCTCGAGAATGAGAGGATAGAGACTGTTGCTTTACGTTACATGTCAATGCTACTACTCCCCGAGGCATACACACACGTACACAGTGTCATTACATGCCTCAAGTGTACTGTCTACTATTTTTCATATCACGTGAATGTTGCATGTGTTAGTTTGTTGTGTAGTTAGCTAGCTATCTTGGTCAAAGGTTTATCATTTTGGTGTTCTTTGCTCTGCAGTTTTTCTCCTGGTTTTTGAAGCTACAGACACAAATGGATCAGGGTGAAAGAGCTAAGCACATGTGAGCTTGATGTTCATGCCTTGCCACTTGCTGATCTCTCAAATCGAAAGTATGTTTATACACACAGTGTACGCTGCATTAGATCTATATCTTTGGGGAATGGAATGGAATGTATCGTGTGTGTTACTCCTGCAGGAAAACCAGAGACCATCTCAATTGTTATCAGGAGCAATGTGATGCTATTCTGAATGACTTGAATGCTGCTCTAGAACACCTGGACTCTCTGCAGAAGCAGTACCTCTTTGTGTCCAACAAGACAGGAACCCTCCATGAGGCCTGTGAACAGCTCCTCAAAGAACAGGTAGGGGACCACTTATATGTAGGCTATGTGACTGTGTCAGAGAACCTACAGTACCAGTCAAAAGTTTGGACACACCTACTCATTCAAGGGTTTTTCTAGATTTTTACTATTTTCTACATTGTAAAATAATAGTGAAGACATCAAAACTATGAAATAACACATGGAATCATGTAGTAACCAAAAAAGTGTTAAACAAATCCAAATATTTTATATTTGAGATTCTTCAAATAGCCACCCTATCAAATCAAATCAAATGTTATTTGTCACATGCACCGAATACAACAGGTGTAGACATTACAGTGAAATGCTTACCTACATGCCCTTAACCAGCAATGCAGTTTAAAGAAAGAATACCCAATAAATTACAAAAAAATACTATATAAAATAATACGAAATAAAAATAACATATAATTAAAGAGCAGCAGTAAAAATAACCATAGCGAGGCTAAATACAGGGAGTCGAGGTAATTTAGGTAATATGTACATGTAGGTAGAATTATTAAAGTGACTATGCATAGATAATAAACAGAGAGTAGCAGCAGCGTAAAAGAGGAGGGGGGGGGGGGGGCAGCAATGCATATAGTCTGGGTAGCCATTTGATTAGATGTTCAGGAGTCTTATGGCTTGGGGGTAGAAGCTGTTTAGAAGCCTCTTGGACCTAGACTTGGTGCTCCGGTACCGCTTGCTGTGCGGTAGCAGAGAGAACAGTCTATGACTAGGGTGGCTGGAGTCTTTGACAATTTTTAGGGCCTTCCTCTGACACCGCCTGCTATAGAGGTCCTGGATGGCAGGAAGCTTGGCCCCAGTGATGTACTGGGCCGTACGCACTACCCTCTGTAGTTCCTTGCGGACGGAGGCCGAGCAGTTGCCATACCAGGCAGTGATGCAACCAGTCAGGATGCTCTCGTTGGTGCAGCTGTAGAACCTTTTGAGGATCTGAGGACCCATGCCAAATCTTTTCAGTCTCCTTAGGTTTTGTCGTGCCCTTTTCACGACTGTCTTGGTGTGCTTGGACCATGATAGTTTGTTGGTGACGTGGACACCGACGTTGTCGGTGATCAGGCCTACCACTGTTGTGTCATCGGCAAACTTAATGATGGTGTTGGAGTCGTGCCTTGCCATTCAGTCATGAGTGAACAGGGAGTACAGTAGGGGACTGAGAACGCACCCCTGAGGGGCCACCGTGTTGAGGATCAGCGTGGCGGATGTGTTGTTACCTACCTTTACCACCTGGGGGCGGCCCATCAGGAAGTCCACGATCCAGTTGCAGAGGGAGGTGTTTAGTCCCAGGATTTGAGGGCACTATGGTATTGAACGCTGAGCTGTAGTCAATGAACAGCATTCTCACATACAGTTGAAGTCGGAAGTTTACATACACCTTAGCCAAATACATTTAAACTCAGTTTTTCACAATTCCTGACATTTAATCCTAGTAAAAAATTCCCTGTCTTAGGTCAGTTAGGATCACCACTTTATTTATAAGAATGTGAAATGTCCAAATAATAGTAGAGAGAGTGATTTATTTCAGCTTTTATTTCTTTCATCACATTCCCAGTGGGTCGGAAGTTTACATACGCTCAGTTAGTATTTGGTAGCATTGCCTTTAAATTGTTTAACTTGGGTCAAACGTTTCGGGTAGCCTTCCACAATCTTCCCATAATAAGTGGGGTGAATTTTGGCCCATTCCTCCTGACAGAGCTGGTGTAACTGAGTCAGGTTTGTAGGCCTCCTTGCTCGCACACCCTTTTTCACTTCTGCCCACACATTTTCTATAGGATTGAGGTCAGGGCTTTGTGATGGCCACTCCAATACCTTGACTTTGTTGTCCTTAAGCCATTTTACCACAACTTTTGAAGTATGCTTGGGGTCATTGGCCATTTGGAAGACCCATTTGCGACCAAGCTTTAACTTCCTGACTGATGTCTTGAGATGTTGCTTCAATATATCCACATAATTTTCCTTCCTCATGATGCCATCTATTTTGTGAAGTGCACCAGTCCCTCCTGCAGCAAAGCACCCCAACAGCATGATACTGCCACCCCCGCGCTTCACGGTTGGGATGGTGTTCTTCGGCTTGCAAGTCCCCCCTTTTTCCTCCAAACATAACGATGGTCATTATGGCCAAACAGTTCTATTTTTGTTTCATCAGACCAGAGGACATTTCTCCAAACAGTACGATCTTTGTCCCCATGTGCAGTTGCAAACCGTAGTCTGGCTTTTTTATGGCGGTTTTGGAGCAGTGGCTTCTTCCTTGCTGAGCGGCCTTTCAGGTTATGTCGATAAAGGACTCGTTTTACTGTGGATATAGATGCTTTGGTACCTGTTTCCTCCAGCATCTTCACAAGGTCCTTTGCTGTTGTTCTGGGATTGATTTGCACTTTTCGCACAAAAGTACGTTCATCTCTAGGAGACAGAACGTGTCTCCTTCCTGAGTGGTATGACGGCTGCATTGTCCCATGGTGTTTATACTTGCGTACTATTGTTTGTACAGATGAACGTGGTACCTTCAGGCGTTTGGAAATTGCTCCCAAGGATGAACCAGACTTGTGGAGGTCTACACATTTTTTTCTGAGGTCTTGGCTGATTTCTTTTGATTTTCCCATGATGTCAAGCAAAGAGGCACTCAGTTTGAAGGTAGGCCTTGAAATACATCGACAGGTACACCTCCAATTGACTCAAATGATGTCAATTAGCCTATCAGAAGACATTACATAATTTTCTGGAATTTTCCAAGCTGTTTAAAGGCACAGGTCAACTTAGTGTATATAAACCTCTGACCCATTGTGATACAGTGAAATAATCTGTCTCTAAACAATTGTTGGAGAAATTACTTGTCATGCACAAAGTAGATGTCCTAGCCGACTTGCCAAAACTATAGTTTGTTAACAATACATTTGTTGAGTGGTTGAAAACGAATTTGAATGACTCCAACCTAAGTGTATGTAAACCTCCGACTTCAACTGTAGGTGTTCCTTTTGTCCAGGTGTGAAAGGGCAGTGTGGAGCACAATAGAGATTGCATCATCTGTGGATCTGTTGGGGCGGTATGCAAATTGGAGTGGTTCTAGGGTTTTTGGGATAATGGCGTTGATGTGAGCCATGACCAACCTTTCAAAGCACTTCATGGCTACAGATGTGAGTGCTACGGGTCGGTAGTCATTTAGGCAGGTTACCTTAGTGTTCTTGGGCACAGGGAATATGGTGGTCTGCTTGAAATATGTTGGTATTACAGACTCAGACAGGGAGAAGTTGAAAATGTCAGTGAAGACACTTGCCAGTTGGTCAGCGCATGCTCGGAGTACACGTCCTGGTAATCCGTCTGGCCCTGCGGCCTTGTGAATGTTGACCTGTTTAAAGGTCTTATTCACATCGGCTACGGAGAGCGTGATCACACTGTCGTCCGGAACAGCTGATGCTCTCATGCATGTTTCAGTGTTATTTGCCACGAAGTGAGCATAGAAGTAATTTAGCTCGTCTGGTAGGCTCGTGTCACTGGGCAGCTCGTGGCTGTGCTTCCCTTTGTAGTCTGTAATAGTTTGCAAGCCCTACCACATCCGACGAGCGTCGGAGCCGGTGTAGTACGATTCGATCTTAGTCCTGTATTTACGCTTTGCCTGTTTGATGGTTCGTCGGAGGGCATAGCGGGATTTCTTATAAGCTTCCGGGTTAGAGTCCCGCTCCTTGAAAGCGGCAGCTCTACACTTTAGCTCAGTGCGGATGTTGCCTGTAATCCATGGCTTCTGGTTGGGGTATGTACGTGCAGTCACTGTGGGGACGACGTCATCGATGCACTTATTGATGAAGCCAGTGACTGATGTGGTGTACTCCTCAATGCCATCGGAAGAATCCCGGAACATATTCCAGTCTGTGCTAGCAAAACAGTCCTGTAGCTTCATTCAGCCACGACTCGATGAAACATAAGATATTACAGTTTTTAATGTCCCGCGATATTCGTGCCTGTAGTTCATCCACTTTATTATCAAGCGATTGTAAATTGGCCAATAGTATCGATGGCAAAGGCACTCGTCGCCGGCTCCTTACCAAGTACCCCGATCTCCTTCCGCGATATCTACTTTTCTTTCTACTGCAAATGACTGGGATGAGGGCCCTGTCGGGTGTCTGGAGCAAATCCCTCTCGTCCGACTCATGAAAGAAAAGGTATTCGCCCAGTTCAAGGTGAGTAATCGCTGTTCTGATGTCCAGAAGCTCTTTTCAGTCATAAGAGACGGTAGCAGCAACATTATGTACAAAATGAGTTACAAACTCATTATACAGAAGATAGCCCTATTTGACCAAGTCCATATTATGGCAAGAACAGCTCAAATAAGCAAAGAGAAATGACAGTCCATCATTACTTTAAGACATGAAGGTCAGTCAATACGGAAAATGTCAAGAACTTTGAACGTTTTTTCAAGTGCAGTCGCAAAAACCATCAAGCGCTATGATGAAACTGGCTCTCATGAGGACCGCCACAGGAATGGAAGACCCAGAGTTACCTCTGCTGCAGAGGATAAGTTCATTAGAGTTACCAGCCTCAGAAATTGCAGCCCAATTAAATGCTTCAGAGTTCAAGTAACGGACACATCTCAACATCAACCTTTCAGAGGAGACTGTGTGAATCAGGCTTTCATGGTCAAATTGCTACAAAGAAACCACTACTAAAGGACACCAATAAGAAGAAGAGACCTGCTTGGGCCAAGAAACACGAGCAATGTACATTAGGCCGGTGGAAATGTGTCCTTTGGTCTGGAGTCCAAATTTGAGATTTTTGGTTCCAACCTTTGTGTCTTTGTGAAACGCGGTGTGGGTGATATGATGATCTCCGCATGTGTATTTCCCACCGTAAAGCATGCAGGAGAAAGTGTTTTCAACAAGACAATGACCCAACACACCTCCAGGCTGTGTAAGGGCTATTTTACCAAGAAGGAGAGCGATGGAGTGCTGCATCAGATGACCTGGCCTCCGCAATCCCCCGACCTCAACCCAATTGAGATGGTTTGGGATGAGTCGGACGGCAGAGTGAAGGAAAAGCAGCCAAGAAGTACTCAGCATATGTGGGAACTCCTTCAAGACTGTTGGAAAAGCATTCCAGGTGAAGCTGGTTGAGAGAATGCCAAGAGTGTGCAAAGCTATCAAGGCAAAGGGTGGCTGTTTGAAGAATCTTTGTTTAACACTTTTTTGGTTACTACATGATTCCATATGTGTTATTTCATAGTTTTGATGTCTTCACTATTATTCTACAATGTAAACAATAAAGAAAAACCCTTGAATGAGTAGGTGTGTCCAAACTTTTGACTGGTACTGTACATGTAGGCTATGTGACTGCGGCAGGTAGCTTAGTGGTTAAGAGCGTTGTGCCAGTAACCGAAAGGTCGCTGGTTCTAATCCCCGAGCCGACTAGGTGAAAGATCTGTCGATGTGCCCTTGAGCAAGGCACTTAACCCTAATTGCTCATGTAAGTCGCTCTGGATAAGAGCGTCTGCTAAATGACAAAAAAATAAATAAAAAAAAAGAGGCACGAAAGGTACCAACAGAACATAGTAGTATGGACCTGTTTCCATTCGTAATGGAATAAAACGTCAGACATGAAATGTCAGCCTGTTATGAAAATCCTAGTTCCCTGCCAACAGATCGTTTTCTCTTAAACAGTCAGAGCTGGTGGATCTGGCTGAGAGCATACAGCAGAAGCTTTCCTACATCAACGAGTTGGAGAACATCAACACGGTTCGCTGTTTATTTATTTATTATACCCTGTACCCATCCTCCTTTCTGTGGCATTTGAAATCCTTTAGCAAATGTCGCTGAAGGTTAATCTTTTTCCTGACTCGAGCCTTGCAAAAGTTCATTCTCGCTCTGTCTCTGCAGAAATTAAACTCACCCACACTGTCTGTAAACAGTGAAGGATTTATACCAATGCTTTGGAAATTGAATGACTGCATAGAGTATGTTTCTTCCCATGTAAGTATATTTTCAGCCCACAATGGAAAGTGTGTATTCTACTGCAGAGCTGTGTCATCATTGTCTGAATACTTACTTTTTTTTCAGCCAAACTTTAAGGACTACCCAGTGTATCTCACAAAGTTCAAACAATGTCTGTCTAAAGCCATGCACTTCATGAAGACTCACACTGTGAACACTATGCAGAATCTCACAGGCCAGTTAACAAAAAGGGTAGGAAAAACTCCTCGGCCACTTTCTATTATGGATTTTGACTTGGTACTGGGACACAATCAACTGTCTTGAGTTGTCTGTCTGACTTAAAATATATTTTTATTTCAGGATCCATTGGGTCTAGCTAACGCAGACAATGCCTTCACATTGTGCCATGTCAAGTTCAGAGCTGCTGCAGCCAAAGTCAGAGTGAGTATCATTATTTATTTCTTCTGTTGGAATTACCGTAAAATTGCTAAGCCATCCTTTCGGTACAAAATGTTGTGTTGTCTTTCTAGAGATGAATAATAGTGATTGTTCTTTCAGACACTGATTGAACAAATAGAGCAGCGGTCAGAGAGAATCCCTGAGTGAGTATTGGGTTGTTGTACTGTATGCTCATGGCTTAACGGGATCATCTCACCTACTGTGGTGTGTTCTGTTATCTTTGTGTAATGCCTACCCATGTTCTGTCATCGATGTGTAATTCCTGCCCATGTTCTGTCATCGATGTGTAATTCCTGCCCATGTTCTGTCATCGATGTGTAATTCCTGCCCATGTTCTGTCATCGATGTGTAATTCCTGCCCATGTTCTGTCATCGATGTGTAATTCCTGCCCATGTTCTGTCATCGATGTGTAATTCCTGCCCATGTTCTGTCATCGATGTGTAATTGCTGCCCATGTTCTGTCATCGATGTGTAATTCCTGCCCATGTTCTGTCATCGATGTGTAATTGCTGCCCATGTTCTGTCATCAATGTGTAATTCCTGCCCATGTTCTGTCATCGATGTGTAATTCCTGCCCATGTTCTGTCATCGATGTGTAATTGCTGCCCATGTTCTGTCATCGATGTGTAATTCCTGCCCATGTTCTGTCATCGAGGTGTAATTCCTGCCCATGTTCTGTCATCGAGGTGTAATTCCTACCCATGTTCTGTCATCGATGTGTAATTCCTGCTCATGTTCTGTCATCGATGTGTAATTCCTGCCCATGTTCTGTCATCGATGTGTAATTCCTGCCCATGTTCTGGCATCGATGTGTAATTCCTGCCCATGTTCTGTCATCGATGTGTAATTCCTGCCCATGTTCTGTCATCCCCAGGTACCATCAGCTGTTGGAGGAGATCCACCAGTGCTACCTGGACCAGAGAGAGCAGCTCCTCAGGCCCGGCATCACAGCCACCATTACGGACCTGACCAGCCAAAACTACAAGGACCACTGTGCATTAGTAAGATCACACTCTGTTAAACAACAAGGACCACTGTGCATTAGTGAGATCACACTCTGTTAAACAACAAGGACCGTTGTGCATTAGTGAGATCACACTCTGTTAAACAACAAGGACCGTTGTGCATTAGTGAGATCACACTCTGTTAAACAACAAGGACCGTTGTGCATTAGTGAGATCACACTCTGTTAAACAACAAGGACCGCTGTGCATTAGTGAGATCACACTCTGTTAAACAACAAGGACCGCTGTGCATTAGTGAGATCACACTCTGTTAAACTACGAGGACCACTGTCCATTAGTAAGATCACACTCTGTTAAACAACAAGGACCACTGTCCATTAGTAAGATCACACTCTGTTAAACTACAAGGACCACTGTGCATTAGTAAGATCACACTCTGTTAAACAACAAGGACCGCTGTGCATTAGTGAGATCACACTCTGTTAAACAACAAGGACCGCTGTGCATTAGTGAGATCACACTCTGTTAAACTACAAGGACCACTGTCCATTAGTGAGATCACACTATGTTAAACTACAAGGACCACTGTCCATTAGTAAGATCACACTCTGTTAAACTACAAGGACCACTGTCCATTAGTAAGATCACACTCTGTTAAACAACAAGGACCACTGTCCATTAGTAAGATCACACTCTGTTAAACTACAAGGACCACTGTCCATTAGTAAGATCACACTCTGTTAAACAACAAGGACCACTGTCCATTAGTAAGATCACACTCTGTTAAACAACAAGGACCGTTGTGCATTAGTGAGATCACACTCTGTTAAACAACAAGGACCACTGTCCATTAGTAAGATCACACTCTGTTAAACAACAAGGACCACTGTCCATTAGTAAGATCACACTCTGTTAAACAACAAGGACCCCTGTCCATTAGTAAGATCACACTCTGTTAAACAACAAGGACCACTGTGCATTAGTAAGATCACACTCTGTTAAACAACAAGGACCGTTGTGCATTAGTAAGATCACACTCTGTTAAACAACAAGGACCGTTGTGCATTAGTGAGATCACACTCTGTTAAACAACAAGGACCACTGTGCATTAGTAAGATCACACTCTGTTAAACAACAAGGACCGTTGTGCATTAGTAAGATCACACTCTGTTAAACAACAAGGACCGTTGTGCATTAGTAAGATCACACTCTGTTAAACAACAAGGACCGTTGTGCATTAGTGAGATCACACTCTGTTAAACAACAAGGACCGTTGTGCATTAGTGAGATCACACTCTGTTAAACAACAAGGACCGCTGTGCAATAGTGAGATCACACTCTGTTAAACTACAAGGACCACTGTGCATTAGTAAGATCACACTCTGTTAAACAACAAGGACCACTGTGCATTAGTGTGATCACACTCTGTTAAACAACAAGGACCACTGTGCATTAGTAAGATCACACTCTGTTAAACAACAAGGACCGTTGTGCATTGATGAGATCACACTCTGTTAAACAACAAGGACCGTTGTGCATTATTGAGATCACACTCTGTTAAACAAGGACCACTGTGCATTAGTAAGATCACACTCTGTTAAACAACAAGGACCGTTGTGCATTAGTGAGATCACACTCTGTTAAACAACAAGGACCACTGTGCATTAGTAAGATCACACTCTGTTAAACAACAAGGACCGCTGTGCATTAGTGAGATCACACTCTGTTAAACAACAACGACCGCTGTGCATTAGTGAGATCACACTCTGTTAAACAACAAGGACCGCTGTGCATTAGTGAGATCACACTCTGTTAAACAACAAGGACCGCTGTGCATTAGTGAGATCACACTCTGTTAAACAACAAGGACCGCTGTGCATTAGTGAGATCACACTCTGTTAAACAACAAGGACCACTGTGCATTAGTGAGATCACACTCTGTTAAACAATAAGGACCACTGTGCATTAGTGAGATCACACTCTGTTAAACAAGAAGGACCACTGTGCATTAGTGAGATCACACTCTGTTAAACAACAAGGACCACTGTGCATTAGTAAGATCACACTCTGTTAAACTACAAGGACCGCTGTCCATTAGTAAGATCACACTCTGTTAAACAACAAGGACCGTTGTGCATTAGTAAGATCACACTCTGTTAAACAACAAGGACCACTGTGCATTAGTGAGATCACACTCTGTTAAACAACAAGGACCGCTGTGCATTAGTGAGATCACACTCTGTTAAACAACAAGGACCACTGTGCATTAGTGAGATCACACTCTGTTAAACAACAAGGACCACTGTGCATTAGTGAGATCACACTCTGTTAAACAACAAGGACCACTGTCCATTAGTAAGATCACACTCTGTTAAACAACAAGGACCACTGTGCATTAGTAAGATCACACTCTGTTAAACTACAAGGACCGCTGTCCATTAGTAAGATCACACTCTGTTAAACAACAAGGACCACTGTGCATTAGTGAGATCACACTCTGTTAAACAACAAGGACCACTGTCCATTAGTAAGATCACACTCTGTTAAACAACAAGGACCACTGTGCATTAGTAAGATCACACTCTGTTAAACAACAAGGACCACTGTGCATTAGTGAGATCACACTCTGTTAAACAACAAGGACCACTGTGCATTAGTGAGATCACACTCTGTTAAACAACAAGGACCGTTGTGCATTAGTAAGATCACACTCTGTTAAACAACAAGGACCACTGTGCATTAGTGAGATCACACTCTGTTAAACAACAAGGACCGTTGTGCATTAGTGAGATCACACTCTGTTAAACTACAAGGACCACTGTGCATTAGTGAGATCACACTCTGTTAAACTACAAGGACCACTGTGCATTAGTGAGATCACACTCTGTTAAACTACAAGGACCACTGTCCATTAGTAAGATCACACTCTGTTAAACAACAAGGACCACTGTCCATTAGTAAGATCACACTCTGTTAAACAACAAGGACCACTGTGCATTAGTAAGATCACACTATTTTACTCAGATCCATTCACGTGTGATTGATTGATTGTATTTGTCAGATACAATTACATAGATGCTGTACAAACACATTACAGAAATTAAATAATATTATCTGAGAAGCCTTCATGTTTTGCCAGTGCTAATGTTGTCTGTTTGTCCTGTGTTCTCCTCCCAGGTGCGTAGTGGCTGTGCCTTCATGGTTCATGTCTGTCAGGATGAGCACCGGCTCTACGCTGAGTTCTTCTCCAAACCCACACCTAGACTACAGTAAGTACTGTCTCCTGTCTCCAAACCCACACCTAGACTACAGTAAGTACTGTCTCCTGTCTCCAAACCCACACCTAGACTACAGTAAGTACTGTCTCCAAACCCACACCTAGACTACAGTAAGTACTGTCTCCTGTCTCCAAACCCACACCTAGACTACAGTAAGTACTGTCTCCTGTCTCCAAACCCACACCTAGACTACAGTAAGTACTGTCTCCAAACCCACACCTAGACTAGAGTAAGTACTGTTTCCAAACCCACATCTAGACTAGAGTAAGTACTGTCTCCTGTCTCCAAACCCACACCTAGACTAGAGTAAGTACTGGCTCCAAACCCACACCTAGACTACAGTAAGTACTGTCTCCTGGCTCCAAACCCACACCTAGACTACAGTAAGTACTGTCTCCTGTCTCCAAACCCACACCTAGACTACAGTAAGTACTGTCTCCTGGCTCCAAACCAAACACCTAGACTAGAGTAAGTACTGGCTCCAAACCCACACCTAGACTACAGTAAGTACTGTCTCCTGGCTCCAAACCCACACCTAGACTACAGTAAGTACTGTCTCCTGTCTCCAAACCCACACCTAGACTACAGTAAGTACTGTCTCCTGTCTCCAAACCAAACACCTAGACTAGAGTAAGTACTGTCTCCAAACCCACATCTAGACTAGAGTAAGTACTGTCTCCTGGCTCCAAACCCACACCTAGACTACAGTAAGTACTGTCTCCTGGCTCCAAACCCACACCTAGACTACAGTAAGTACTGTCTCCTGTCTCCAAACCCACACCTAGACTACAGTAAGTACTGTCTCCTGTCTCCAAACCAAACACCTAGACTAGAGTAAGTACTGTCTCCAAACCCACATCTAGACTAGAGTAAGTACTGTCTCCTGGCTCCAAACCCACACCTAGACTACAGTAAGTACTGTCTCCTGTCTCCAAACCCACACCTAGACTAGAGTATGTACTGGCTCCAAACCCACACCTAGACTACAGTAAGTACTGTCTCCTGTCTCCAAACCCACACCTAGACTAGAGTAAGTACTGTCTCCAAACCCACACCTAGACTAGAGTAAGTACTGTCTCCAAACCCACACCTAGACTAGAGTAAGTACTGTTTCCAAACCCACATCTAGACTAGAGTAAGTACTGTCTCCTGTCTCCAAACCCACACCTAGACTAGAGTAAGTACTGTCTCCAAACCCACACCTAGACTAGAGTAAGTACTGTCTCCTGTCTCCAAACCCACACCTAGAGTAAGTACTGTCACCAATCCCACATCTAGACTAGAGTAAGTACTGTCTCCTGTCTCCAAACCTACACCTAGAGTAAATGCTGTCTCCTGTCTCCAAACCTACACCTAGACTAGAATAAGTACTGTCTCCAAACCCACACCTAGACTAGAGTAAGTACTGTCTCCAAACCCACACCTAGACTACAGTAAGTACTGTCTCCTGTCTCCAAACCCACACCTAGACTAGAGTAAGTACTGTCTCCTGTCTCCAAACCCACACCTAGACTAGAGTAAGTACTGTCTCCAAACCCAAACCTAGACTAGAGTAAGTACTGTCTCCAAACCCACACCTAGACTACAGTAAGTAATGTCTCCAAACCCACACCTAGACTAGAGTAAGTACTGTCTCCAAACCCACACCTAGACTACAGTAAGTAATGTCTCCAAACCCACACCTAGACTAGAGTAAGTACTGTCTCCAAACCCACACCTAGACTTCAGTAAGTACTGTCTCCTGTCTCCAAACCCACACCTAGACTAGAGTAAGTACTGTCTCCAAACCCACATCTAGACTACAGTAAGTACTGTCTCCTGTCTCCAAACCCACACCTAGACTACAGTAAGTACTGTCTCCTGTCTCCAAACCCACACCTAGACTAGAGTAAGTACTGTCTCCAAACCTGTGGTCCTCTGTAGCTCAGCTGGTAGAGCACGGCGCTTGTAACGCCAAGGTAGTGGGTTCGATCCCCGGGACCACCCATACACAAAAAAAAAAAAAAGAATGCACGCATGACTGTAAGTCGCTTTGGATAAAAGCGTCTGCTAAATGGCATATTATTATTATTATTATTATTATTATTATTATTATATACTGCCTCCAAACCCACACCTAGACTAGAGTAAGTACTGTCTCCAAACCCACACCTAGACTAGAGTAAGTACTGTCTCCAAACCCACACCTAGACTAGAGTAAGTACTGTCTCCAAACCCACACCTAGACTACAGTAAGTACTGTCTCCAAACCCACACCTAGACTAGAGTAAGTACTGTCTCCAAACCCACACCTAGACTAGAGTAAGTACTGCCTCCAAACCCACACCTAGACTAGAGTAAGTACTGTCTCCAAACCCACACCTAGACTAGAGTAAGTACTGTCTCCAAACCCACACCTAGACTAGAGTAAGTACTGTCTCCAAACCCACACCTAGACTACAGTAAGTACTGTCTCCTGTCTCCAAACCCACACCTAGACTACAGTAAGTACTGTCTCCTGTCTCCAAACCCACACCTAGACTACAGTAAGTACTGTCTCCTGTCTCCAAACCCACACCTAGACTACAGTAAGTACTGTCTCCTGTCTCCAAACCCACACCTAGACTAGAGTAAGTACTGTCTCCAAACCCACACCTAGACTAGAGTAAGTACTGTCTCCAAACCCACACCTAGACTAGAGTAAGTACTGTCTCCAAACCCACACCTAGACTACAGTAAGTAATGTCTCCAAACCCACACCTAGACTAGAGTAAGTACTGTCTCCAAACCCACACCTAGACTACAGTAAGTACTGTCTCCAAACCCACACCTAGACTAGAGTAAGTACTGTCTCCAAACCCACACCTAGACTACAGTAAGTACTGTCTCCAAACCCACACCTAGACTACAGTAAGTACTGTCTCCAAACCCACACCTAGACTACAGTAAGTACTGTTTCCAAACCCACACCTAGACTAGAGTAAGTACTGTCTCCAAACCCACACCTAGACTACAGTAAGTACTGTTTCCAAACCCACACCTAGACTAGAGTAAGTACTGTCTCCAAACCCACACCTAGACTAGAGTAAGTACTGTCTCCTGTCTCCAAACCCACACCTAGACTACAGTAAGTACTGTCTCCAAACCCACACCTAGACTACAGTAAGTACTGTCTCCAAACCCACACCTAGACTACAGTAAGTACTGTCTCCAAACCCACACCTAGACTACAGTAAGTACTGTCTCCAAACCCACACCTAGACTACAGTAAGTACTGTCTCCAAACCCACACCTAGACTACAGTAAGTACTGTTTCCAAACCCACACCTAGACTAGAGTAAGTACTGTCTCCAAACCCACACCTAGACTAGAGTAAGTACTGTCTCCTGTCTCCAAACCCACACCTAGACTACAGTAAGTACTGTTTCCAAACCCACACCTAGACTAGAGTAAGTACTGTCTCCAAACCCACACCTAGACTAGAGTAAGTACTGTCTCCTGTCTCCAAACCCACACCTAGACTACAGTAAGTACTGTCTCCAAACCCACACCTAGACTACAGTAAGTACTGTCTCCAAACCCACACCTAGACTACAGTAAGTACTGTCTCCAAACCCACACCTAGACTACAGTAAGTACTGTCTCCAAACCCACACCTAGACTACAGTAAGTACTGTCTCCAAACCCACACCTAGACTACAGTAAGTACTGTTTCCAAACCCACACCTAGACTAGAGTAAGTACTGTCTCCAAACCCACACCTAGACTAGAGTAAGTACTGTCTCCTGTCTCCAAACCCACACCTAGACTACAGTAAGTACTGTTTCCAAACCCACACCTAGACTACAGTAAGTACTGTTTCCAAACCCACACCTAGACTACAATAAGTACAGTCTAGGAAAGGTGAAGGAAAGGCTCAGATGAATGGCTATTTCCTGGTTAGTATTCTCAATCCTTTTATTTGATTTTCTTTCCTTTTTTTCTTTTTCTTTTTTTTCTTTCAACATTCAACACCTGATGGCTCTACTGTTGAATTGACAACGGGCAGCTGTACAATTCTACACAGTGAGATGAAAACATGCATCTAAACTTCTCAGATACTAGCTAGTGTTTCTCTCTTGTAGAAGAAATGCATTTTCAACATACTGTCATTTCCCAGAGGACATACTGTCATTTCCCAGAGGACATGCTGTCATTTCACTAGAGTATTTTGCTCACTGGTTGAAAAGTAAAGGAGCGTACCCCTCCCCTCTCCAGTGGGCTGCTGGAGAAGCTGTGTCTGTCGCTGTATGACGTCCTGCGACCGTTCATCATCCACGTTATCCACCTGGAGACCCTGTCAGAACTCTGTGGCATCCTAAATAATGAGATGCTGGATGACCACGTTCACAACAACGGTACTGTCACTCACAATACAAAGAACCTCCTCTGGTTACTTTCACCGTCAAGCTACAGTGAGGGAAAAAAGTATTTAATCCCCTGCTGATTGTGTACGTTTGTCCACTGACAAAGAAATGATCAGTCTATAATTTTAATGGTAGGTTTATTTGAACAGTGAGAGACAGAATAACAACAAAAAAATCCAGAAAAACGCATGTCAAAAATGTTATAAATTGATTTGCATTTTAATGAGGGAAATAAGTATTTGACCCCCTCTCAATCAGAAAGATTTCTGGCTCCCAGGTGTCTTTTATACAGGTAACAAGCTGAGATTAGGAGCACACTCTTAAAGGGAGTGCTCCTAATCTCAGTTTGTTACCTGTATTAAAGACACCTGTCCACAGAAGCAATCAATCAATCAGATTCCAAACTCTCCACCATGGCCAAGACCAAAGAGCTCTCCAAGGATGTCAGGGACAAGATTGTAGACCTACACAAGGCTGGAATGGGCTACAAGACCATTGCCAAGCAGCTTGGTGAGAAGGTGACAACAGTTGGTGCGATTATTCGCAAATGGAAGAAACACAAAATAACTGTCAATCTCCCTCGGCCTGGGGCTCCATGCAAGATCTCACCTCGTGGAGTTGCAATGATCATGAGAACGGTGAGGAATCAGCCCAGAACTACACGGGAGGATCTTGTCAATGATCTCAAGGCAGCTGGGACCATAGTCACCAAGAAAACAATTGGTAACACACTACGCCGTGAAGGACTGAAATCCTGCAGCGCCCACAAGGTCCCCCTGCTCAAGAAAGCACATATACAGGCCCGTCTGAAGTTTGCCAATGAACATCTGAATGATTCAGAGGAGAACTGGGTGAAAGTGTTGTGGTCAGATGAGATCAAAATCGAGCTCTTTGGCATCAACTCAACTCGCCGTGTTTGGAGGAGGTGGAATGCTGCCTATGACCCCAAGAACACCATCCCCACCGTCAAACATGGAGGTGGAAACATTATGCTTTGGGGGTGTTTTTCTGCTAAGGGGACAGGACAACTTCACCGCATCAACGGGATGATGGACGGGGCCATGTACCGTCAAATCTTGGGTGAGAACCTCCTTCCCTCAGCCAGGGGATTGAAGATGGGTCGTGGATGGGTATTCCAGCATGACAATGACCCAAAACACACGGCCAAGGCAACAAATGAGTGGCTCAAGAAGAAGCACATTAAGGTCCTGGAGTGGCCTAGCCAGTCTCCAGACCTTAATCCCATAGAAAATCTGTGGAGGGAGCTGAAGGTTCGAGTTGCCAAACGTCAGCCTCGAAACCTTAATGACTTGGAGAAGATCTGCAAAGAGGAGTGGAACAAAATCCCTCCTGAGATGTGTGCAAACCTGGTGGGCAACTACAAGAAACGTCTGACCTCTGTGATTGCCAACAAGGGTTTTGCCACCAAGTACTAAGTCATGTTTTGCAGAGGGGTCAAATACTTATTTCCGTCATTAAAATGCAAATCAATTTATAACATTTTTGACATGCGTTTTTCTGTATTTTGTTGTTGTTATTCTGTCTCTCACTGTTCAAATAAACCTACCATTAAAATTATAGACTGATTATGTCTTTGTCAGTGTATAGTGAACTAGTCAGTATGTTACATATTTATCATAACGTATTTTCAGAGAGCAGTGTATAGGCCTACACGTCAACATGTAAAACATTCCTAGGGTATTATATTTATTTCTAAAAGTGAGGGTGTGTAAGCAGGCTGAGTAGAAATGTATGACCTCATCGTATGTGTGTGTGTAGCTGGTCAGCTGGGGGCGTTTGACGCGGTGGTCAAACAAATGCTGGAGGATGTCCAGGAGAGGAGGATGTCCAGGAGAGGAGGATGTCCAGGAGTGGAGGACGTCCAGGAGAGGAGGACGTCCAGGAGAGGAGGACGTCCAGGAGTGGAGGACGTCCAGGAGTGGAGGACGTCCAGGAGTGGAGGACGTCCAGGAGAGGAGGACGTCCAGGAGAGGAGGACGTCCAGGAGAGGAGGACGTCCAGGAGAGGCTGGTCGACAGGACACACATCTACATCCAGACTGACATCATCGGATACAACCCCGCCCCCGGGGACCTGGCCTATCCTGAACAACTGGAGATGATGGAGGTGCGTCTGTCTGACTGCTGTTTTCAGTCATTAGGAGGAAGTTGCCCCTATATACTAATCTAAGGTCTGTTTTTTTAGTTTCCCCTTGTAATGGGAATATTGAACATTAATACAGTTAAGAGTGATTAACACAATGTTCCCGTTCTGTAATATTTCCAGTGTTCTGTTTGTGCAGTGTTCTGTTGATAGTGATTGACAAGGAGGTACAAGGACCGAGGACACATCTCTTTAACCAGAGATAATAAGAATACTGTAAAACTATTTGGTGGAATGTGCTTTGTGTCTGCCCGAACGGGCAAGTGACATTTTGTCTTGAAGACAATGTTGATTTGCTTTGACTCTAGTGTTCCATTTTGTACATGTGCATTTGCGGGGCACAACAAAAAAAGAAACCAAGCCAAGCGTCACACCGTTCTCACTAAATTCCCTTTCCCCTCCGTGTATCATTCACTCAATTACCTTCCGACCGCTCCCTCTCCACACGGGTGCTGAGTGCGCACACAAGCTCCTGTTAGGCCTACAGAACTAAATGCCTATAGAAACGTATCTAACTGATGGGATACACAAGCTACATTCCTTGCCAAATTATGATCGTTCTATCACAAATTCAAAATGGGCTGGTTGATTTGAAGTAGGAAAATGTGTTCCAACAACGAGCTCCAGTTTTTAAATAATTGTTTCCCGTCTATTTTCCACTTAAGCTACTTTGCAAACTGCTAGTGCCATTTAGAATTGGTTAGCCTAGGCTATAAACCCCCTTAAACATAGACGGGTTCCGCACTGAAAATACGCACTCAATAAAATGTATAAAGACAGCGTATTTTCATCAGAATCATTAAGCATATGCCTACTCAGGAAATAGATGTCGTAGCTGTAATTCATCACCATGCAGCGTTCAATTAAGCAATAAGTCCCGAGGGAGTGTGGTATATGGCCAATATACCACAAACCCCCAATGTGCCTAATTGCTATTATAAACTGTTTACCAACATAATTACAACAGTAAAAGTAAATGTTTTTTGTCATACCCATGGTATACGGTCTGATATACCACAGCTTTCAGCCAATCAGCATTCAGGGCTTGAACCACCCAACTTATAATGTGGAATTGTTCATCCATTAAGAATATTCAGAAGAACAGGCAGAATAAACTAAATTGAACATCTGTATATCAAAAATAAGACCGATTTTGGTTTGTAACCCTGAAAAAATTGCCTTTCAAATCACCAAATTGAGCCCCGTTTCAAATTATCACTCTTTGAGAATAACTGTTCTTGGGACGAGATGCACATAATTTCGGACTGGCAACTTTTTTTCATTTGGAAAAATATTCTGTTCCATTTTACTCCATTTTTACTTTTTTTAAACTATAAAATAGGTGTGTCTTGACTGTGATAAGGGCTCGGGGAATAAGAGCGTCTTGTCTGCTAAATGAACAAAACAAGGCTAGTCCATAGCACAGCCACAGGCTTCTACAAGCAAGCTCCACTGCTGAGGTTACTACCTTGTTGAAGATTGTCTTCCACAATATCATATAACCAGTTGATATTACAGATTGTCTTCCACAATATCATATAACCAGTTGATATTACAGGTTGTCTTCCACAATATCATATAACCAGTTGATATTACAGATTGTGTTCCACGAAATCATATAACCAGTTGATATTACAGATTGTGTTCCACGATATCATATAACCAGTTGATATTACAGATTGTGTTCCACGAAATCATATAACCAGTTGATATTACAGATTGTGTTCCACGAAATCATATAACCAGTTGATATTACAGATTGTGTTCCACGATATCATATAACCAGTTGATATTACAGATTGTGTTCCACGAAATCATATAACCAGTTGATATTACAGATTGTGTTCCACGATATCATATAACCAGTTGATATTACAGATTGTGTTCCACGATATCATATAACCAGTTGATATTACAGATTGTGTTCCATGATAAACAGTTGAAGTCGGAAGTTTACATACACTTGGAGTCATTTAAAACTCGTTTTTCAACCGCTCCACAAATTTCTTGTTAACAAACTATAGTTTTGGCAAGTCGGTTAGGACATCTACGTTGTGCATGACACAAGTAATTTTTACAACAATTGTTTACAGACAGATTATTTCACTTATAATTCACTGTATCACAATACCAGTGGGTCAGAAGTTTACATACACAAAGTTGACTGTGCCTTTAAACAGCTTGGAAAATTCCAGAAAATGATGTCATGGCTTTAGAAGCTTCTGATAGGCTAATTGACATAATTGTAGTCAATTGGAGGTGTACCTGTGGATGTATTAGTCTGGTTCATCCTTAGGAGCAATTTCCAAACGCCTGAAGGTACCACGTTCATCTGTACAAACAATAGTACTCAAGTATAAACACCATGGGACCACGCAGCTGTCATACCGCTCAGGAAGGAGACGCGTTCTATCTCCTAGAGATGAACGTACTTTGGTGCGAAAAGTGCAAATCAATCCCAGAACAACAGCAAAGGACCTTGTGAAGATGCTGGAGGAAACGGGTACAAAAGTATCTATATCCACATTAAAACGAATCCTATATCGACATAACCTGAAAGGCCGCTTAGCAAGGAAGAAGCCACTGCTCCAAAACCGCCATTAAAAAGCCAGACTACGGTTTGCAACTGCACATGGGGACAAAGATCGTACTTTTTGGAGAAATGTCCTCTGGTCTGATGAAACAAAAATAGAACTGTTTGGCTATAATGACCATCGTTATGTTTGGAGGAAAAGGGGGAACGCTTGCAAGACGAAGAACACCATCCCAACCGTGAAGCACGGGGGTGGCAGCATCATGCTGTGGGGGTGCTTTGCTGTAGGAGGGACTGGTGCACTTCACAAAATAGATGGCATCATGAGGAAGGAAAATTATGTGGATATATTGAAGCAACATCTCAAGACATCAGTCAGGAAGTTAAAGCTTGGTCGCAAATGGGTCTTCCTAATGGACAATGACCCCAAGCAGACTTCCAAAGTTGTGGCAAAATGGCTTAAGGACAACAAAGTCAAGGTATTGGAGTGGCCATCACAAAGCCCTGACCTCAATCCTATAGAAAATGTGTGGGCAGAACTGAAAAAGCGTGTGCGAGCAAGGAGGCCTACAAACCTGACTCAGTTACACCAGCTCTATCAGGAGGAATGGGCCAAAATTCACCCAACTTATTGTGGGAAGCTTGTGGAAGGCTACCCGAAACGTTTGACCCAAGTTAAACAATTTAAAGGCAATGCTACCAAATACTAATTGAGTGTATGTAAACATCTGATCCACTGGGAATATGATGAAAGAAATAAAAGCTTAAATAAATCGTTCTCTCTAATATTATTCTGACATTTCACATTCTTAAAATAAAGTGGTGATCCTAACAGACCTAAAACAGGGAATGTTAACTAGGATTAAATGTCAGGAATTGTGAAAAACTGAGTTTAAATGTATTTGCCTAAGGTGTATGTAAACTACTGACTTCAACTGTAATATAACCAGTTGATATTACAGATTGTGTTCCATGATGTTATATAAATTAATCTTAAATGGCACTTTTTTATTGACTAATTATTTATATACTGTGTGTATTTGCCCCATACAGTGGGGAAAAAAAGTATTTAGTCAGCCACCAATTGTGCAAGTTCTCCCACTTAAAAAGATGAGAGAGGCCTGTAATTTTCCTCATAGGTACACGACAAAATGAGTTTTTTTTCTTCCAGAAAATCATATTGTAGGATTTTTAATGAATTTATTTGCAAATTATGGTGGAAAATAAGTATTTGGTCAATAACAAAAGTTTCTCAATACTTTGTTATATACCCTTTGTTGGCAATGACACAGGTCAAACGTTTTCTGTAAGTCTTCACAAGGTTTTCACACACTGTTGCTGGTATTTTGGCCCATTCCTCCATGCAGATCTCTTTTAGAGCAGTGATGTTTTGGGGCTGTCGCTGGGCAACACAGACTTTCAACTCCCTCCAAAGATTTTCTATGGGGTTGAGATCTGGAGACTGGCTAGGCCACTCCAGGACCTTGAAATGCTTCTTACGAAGCCACTCCTTCGTTGCCCGGGCGGTGTGTTTGGGATCATTGTCATGCTGAAAGACCCAGCCACGTTTCATCTTCAATGCCCTTGCTGATGGAAGGAGGTTTCACTCAAAATCTCACGATACATGGCCCCATTCATTCTTTCCTTTACACGGATCAGTCGTCCTGGTTCCTTTGCAGAAAAACAGCCCCAAAGCATGATGTTTCCACCCCCATGCTTCACAGTAGGTATGGTGTTCTTTGGATGCAACTCAGCATTCTTTGTCCTCCAAACACGACGAGTTGAGTTTTTACCAAAAAGTTCTATTTTGGTTTCATCTGACCATATGACATTCTCCCAATCCTCTTCTGGATCATCCAAATGCACTCTAGCAAACTTCAGACGGGCCTGGACATGTACTGGCTTAAGCAGGGGGACACGTCTGGCACTGCAGGATTTGAGTCCCTGGCGGCGTAGTGTGTTACTGATGGTAGGCTTTGTTACTTTGGTCCCAGCTCTCTGCAGGTCATTCACTAGGTCCCCCCGTGTGGTTCTGGGATTTTTGCTCACCGTTCTTGTGATCATTTTGACCCCACGGGGTGAGATCTTGCGTGGAGCCCCAGATCGAGGGAGATTATCAGTGGTCTTGTATGTCTTCCATTTCCTAATAATTGCTCCCACAGTTGATTTCTTCAAACCAAGCTGCTTACCTATTGCAGATTCAGTCTTCCCAGCCTGGTGCAGGTCTACAATTTTGTTTCTGGTGTCCTTTGACAGCTCTTTGGTCTTGGCCATAGTGGAGTTTGGAGTGTGACTGTTTGAGGTTGTGGACAGGTGTATTTTATACTGATAACAAGTTCAAACAGGTGCCATTAATACAGGTAACGAGTGGAGGACAGAGGAGCCTCTTAAAGAAGAAGTTACAGGTCTGTGAGAGCCAGAAATCTTGCTTGTTTGTAGGTGACCAAATACTTATTTTCCACCATAATTTGCAAATAAATTCATAAAAAAACCTACAATGTGATTTTCTGGAGAAAAAAAATCTCAATTTGTCTGTCATAGTTGACGTGTACCTATGATGAAAATTACAGGCCTCTCTCATCTTTTTAAGTGGGAGAACTTGCACAATTGGTGGCTGACTAAATACTTTTTTTCCCCACTGTGTATATATATATATATATGGGGCAATTTAGCAATTAGGATTTGTTATCTGTAATGGTTATGATAAATTAAGCATTGTTGCGATCTTTTGGTATATAGATAAATACACATTTGTTTCTAGTGCAGGCCTTGTTCTGAAAATATTTTTTTTTTAATTCTAGTACTCAACAAAAAAATAATTAGAGTTCTCGAACAGTCAAAATGTCTAATGCCCATCCTTATAATAAACCATACTAATTCATGATTGCCTTTATCTGCTGCTGCACCTCTCTATTGTTTACCTGGAGATTGCTCTTACAAACCCCCCTAATGGTTAAGATTTGGGGGAGGTGTGCTGATCCTAGATCTGTGCCTATGGGCAACTTCTACCTGCAGCTGTCCTCAATACAAAACAAAGACGCATGTTTGTAATCAATCTCTCTTTACAGAAAATCGCCCAGAGCCTGAAGGAAGAGCAGATTAAGCTAATGGCCCAGGAGTCCTCGTTCTCTGACGTGCAGCTTGAATACCCAGAGGGCAGGAGAGCCAGTAAGTCAGCGTTTACAAATGAAGGTGGAGAGGATTTTTTTTTCTTTCTAAGTTATGAATGGTCTTACTGTTGTACACTCCTACTCTCTTTCTGTTCCTTGCTTACAGGTAGGATAGACTCGTCCCGCTTGCAACCATCCATCTCTCCCGCTGACCTGCATGGCATGTGGTACCCCACAGTCAGACGGACGCTGGTCTGCTTATCCAAGCTCTACAGGTGTATAGATGTGAGGACTTGGCTTATCTGCCATTTGGCATGTTTACTCTTCCAAATATGAGATAATATAGGCATGACAAACGATACAGGCATATGAATGAATCATGAGCCTAGTCCATTGCATGATGGGAGTATTTGACCTGTCCTCCTGCTTTCCCTACACTGCTGTCCACCATGTTGTCCCTGTGTTAATGCCGTCCACCATGTTGTCCCTGTGTTGATGCCGTCCACCATGTTGTCCCTGTGTTGAGGCCGTCCCCCATGTTGTCTCTGTGTTGATGCTGTCCTCCATGTTGTCCCTGTGTTGAGGCCGTCCACCATGTTGTCCCTGTGTTGAGGCCGTCCACCATGTTGTCCCTGTGTTGAGGCCGTCCACCATGTTGTCCCTGTGTTGAGGCCGTCCACCATGTTGTCCCTGTGTTGAGGCCGTCCCCCACGTTGTCCCTGTGTTGATGCTGTCCCCCATGTTGTCCCTGTGTTGATGCCGTCCACCATGTTGTCCCTGTGTTGATGCCGTCCACCATGTTGTCCCTGTGTTGAGGCCGTCCCCCATGTTGTCTCTGTGTTGATGCTGTCCTCCATGTTGTCCCTGTGTTGATGCCGTCCCCCATGTTGTCCCTGTGTTGATGCCGTCCCCCATGTTGTCCCTGTGTTGAGGCCGTCCACCATGTTGTCCCTGTGTTGAGGCCGTCCACCATGTTGTCCCTGTGTTGAGGCCGTCCACCATGTTGTCCCTGTGTTGAGGCCGTCCACCATGTTGTCCCTGTGTTGAGGCCGTCCCCCACGTTGTCCCTGTGTTGAGGCCGTCCACCATGTTGTCCCTGTGTTGATGTTGTCCCTGTGTTGATGCCGTCCTCCATGTTGATGCTGTCCACCATATTGTCCCTTTGTTGATGCTGTCCTCCATGTTGATGCCGTCCACCATGTTGTCCCTGTGTTGATGCTGTCCTCCATGTTGTCCCTGTGTTGATGCTGTCCTCCATGTTGTACCTGTGTTGATCCTGTCCACCATGTTGTCCCTGTGTTGATGTTGTCCCTGTGTTGATGCTGTCCACCGTGTTGCTGCTTTCCTCCGTGTTGTCCCTGTGTTGATGCTGTCCTCCATGTTGTCCCTGTGTTGATGTTGTCCCTGTGTTGATGTTGTCCCCCGTGTTGTCCCTGTGTTGATGTTGTCCCCCGTGTTGTCCCTGTGTTGATGCTGTCCTCCATGTTGTCCCTATGTTGAGGCCGTCCACCATGTTGTCCCTGTGTTGAGGCCGTCCACCATGTTGTCCCTGTGTTGAGGCCGTCCCCCACGTTGTCCCTGTGTTGATGCTGTCCCCTGTGTTGATGCTGTCCACCATGTTGTCCCTGTGTTGATGTTGTCCCTGTGTTGAGGCCGTCCACCATGTTGTCCCTGTGTTGAGGCCGTCCACCATGTTGTCCCTGTGTTGAGGCCGTCCACCATGTTGTCCCTGTGTTGAGGCCGTCCACCATGTTGTCCCTGTGTTGATGCTATCCACCATGTTGTCCCTGTGTTGATGCTGTCCCCCATGTTGTCCCTGTGTTGATGTTGTCCCCTGTGTTGTCCCTGTGTTGATGCCGTCCCCCATGTTGTCCCTGTGTTGATGCCGTCCCCCATGTTGTCCCTGTGTTGATGCCGTCCACCATGTTGTCCCTGTGTTGAGGCCGTCCCCCACGTTGTCCCTGTGTTGATGCTGTCCCCTGTGTTGATGCTGTCCACCATGTTGTCCCTGTGTTGATGTTGTCCCTGTGTTGAGGCCGTCCACCATGTTGTCCCTGTGTTGAGGCCGTCCACCATGTTGTCCCTGTGTTGAGGCCGTCCACCATGTTGTCCCTGTGTTGAGGCCGTCCACCATGTTGTCCCTGTGTTGATGCTATCCACCATGTTGTCCCTGTGTTGATGCTGTCCCCCATGTTGTCCCTGTGTTGATGTTGTCCCCTGTGTTGTCCCTGTGTTGATGCCGTCCCCCATGTTGTCCCTGTGTTGATGCCGTCCCCCATGTTGTCCCTGTGTTGATGCCGTCCCCCATGTTGTCCCTGTGTTGATGCTGTCCACCATGTTGTCCCTGTGTTGATGCTGTCCACCGTGTTGATGCTGTCCACCATGTTGTCCCTGTGTTGATGCTGTCCTCCATGTTGTACCTGTGTTGATGCTGTCCACCATGTTGTCCCTGTGTTGATGTTGTCCCTGTGTTGATGCTGTCCACCGTGTTGATGCTTTCCTCCATGTTGTCCCTGTGTTGATGTTGTCCCTATGTTGATGCTGTCCACCATGTTGTCCCTGTGTTAATGTTGTCCCCTGTGTTGTCCCTGTGTTGATGTTGTCCGCCGTGTTGTCCCTGTGTTGATGCTGTCCTCCATGTTGTCCCTATGTTGATGTTGTCCCTGTGTTGATGCTGTCCACCATGTTGTCCCTGTGTTGATGCTGTCCTCCATGTTGTACCTGTGTTGATGTTGTCCCCTGTGTTGATGCTGTCCACCATGTTGTCTCTGTGTTGATGTTGTCCCCCGTGTTTTCCCTGTGTTGATGCTGTCCACCATGTTGTCCCTGTGTTGATGCTGTCCACCATGTTGTCCCTGTGTTGATGTTGTCCCTGTGTTGATGCTGTCCACCGTGTTGATGCTATCCACCATGTTGTCCCTGTGTTGATGCTGTCCACCATGTTGTCCCTGTGTTGATGCTGTCCACCGTGTTGATGCTATCCACCATGTTGTCCCTGTGTTGATGCTGTCCTCCATGTTGTCCCTGTGTTGATGTTGTCCTTTGTGTTGTCCCTGTGTTGATGATGTCCACCATGTTGTCCCTGTGTTGTTGTCCCTGTGATGATGTTGTCCCCCGTGTTTTCCCTGTGTTGATGTTGTCCCCCGTGTTGTCCCTGTGTTGATGCTGTCCACCATGTTGTCCCTATGTTGATGTTGTCCCTGTGTTGATGCTGTCCACCATGTTGATGCTGGCCTCCATGTTGTCCCTGTGTTGATGTTGTCCCCCGTGTTGTCCCTGTGTTGATGTTGTCCCCTGTGTTGTCCCTGTGTTGATGTTGTCCCCTGTGTTGTCCCTGTGTTGATGTTGTCCCCCATGCTGTCCCTGTGTTGATGCTGTCCACCATGTTGTCCCTGTGTTAATGTTGTCCCTGTGTTGATGCTGTCCACCGTGTTGATGCTGTCCACCATGTTGTCCCTGTGTTAATGTTGTCCCTGTGTTGATGCTGTCCACCGTGTTGATGCTTTCCTCCATGTTGTCCCTGTGTTGATGCTGTCCTCCATGTTGTCCCTGTGTTGATGTTGTCCCTATGTTGATGCTGTCCACCATGTTGTCCCTGTGTTAATGTTGTCCCCTGTGTTGTCCCTGTGTTGATGTTGTCCTCCGTGTTGTCCCTGTGTTGATGCCGTCCCCCATGTTGTCCCTGTGTTGATGTTGTCCCTGTGTTGATGTTGTCCCCCGTGTTGTCCCTGTGTTGATGCTGTCCACCATGTTGTCCCTATGTTGATGTTGTCCCTGTGTTGATGTTGTCCCCCGTGTTGTCCCTGTGTTGATGTTGTCCCCCATGTTGTCCCTGTGTTGATGCCGTCCCCCATGTTGTCCCTGTGTTGATGCTGTCCCCCATGTTGTCCCTGTGTTGATGCTGTCCACCATGTTGTCCCTGTGTTGATGCTGTCCACCATGTTGTCCCTGTGTTGATGCTGTCCTCCATGTTGATGCTGTCCTCCATGTTGTCCCTGTGTTGATGCTGTCCTCCATGTTGATGCCGTCCACCATGTTGTCCCTGTGTTGATGCTGTCCTCCATGTTGTCCCTGTGTTGATGCTGTCCTCCATGTTGTACCTGTGTTGATGCTGTCCACCATGTTGTCCCTGTGTTGATGCTGTCCACCGTGTTGATGCTGTCCACCATGTTGTCCCTGTGTTGATGCTGTCCTCCATGTTGTACCTGTGTTGATGCTGTCCACCATGTTGTCCCTGTGTTGATGCTGTCCACCGTGTTGATGCTGTCCACCATGTTGTCCCTATGTTGATGCTGTCCTCCATGTTGTACCTGTGTTGATGCTGTCCCCCGTGTTGTCCCTGTGTTGTTGTTGTCCCCCATGTTGTCCCTGTGTTGATGCTGTCCACCATGTTGTCCCTGTGTTGATGCTGTCCTCCATGTTGTCCCTGTGTTGATGTTGTCCCCTGTGTTGATGCTGTCCACCATGTTGTCCCTGTGTTGATGTTGTCCCTGTGTTGATGTTGTCCCCCATGTTGTCCCTGTGTTGATGTTGTCCCCCATGTTGTCCCCGTGTTGATGCTTTCCTCCATGTTGTCCCTGTGTTGATGCTGTCCTCCATGTTGTCCCTGTGTTGATGTTGTCCCTATGTTGATGCTGTCCACCATGTTTCCCTGTGTTAATGTTGTCCCCTGTGTTGTCCCTGTGTTGATGTTGTCCGCCGTGTTGTCCCTGTGTTGATGCTGTCCTCCATGTTGTCCCTGTGTTGATGTTGTCCCTGTGTTGATGCTGTCCACCATGTTGTCCCTGTGTTGATGCTGTCCTCCATGTTGTACCTGTGTTGATGTTGTCCCCTGTGTTGATGCTGTCCACCATGTTGTCTCTGTGTTGATGTTGTCCCCCGTGTTTTCCCTGTGTTGATGCTGTCCACCATGTTGTCCCTGTGTTGATGCTGTCCACCATGTTGTCCCTGTGTTGATGCTGTCCACCGTGTTGATGCTATCCACCATGTTGTCCCTGTGTTGATGCTGTCCTCCATGTTTTCCCTGTGTTGATGTTGTCCCTGTGTTGATGCTGTCCACCATGTTGTCCCCTGTGTTGTCCCTGTGTTGATGTTGTCCTTTGTGTTGTCCCTGTGTTGATGATGTCCACCATGTTGTCCCTGTGTTGTTGTCCCTGTGATGATGTTGTCCCCCGTGTTGTCCCTGTGTTGATGTTGTCCCCCGTGTTGTCCCTGTGTTGATGCTGTCCACCATGTTGTCCCTATGTTGATGTTGTCCCTGTGTTGATGCTGTCCACCATGTTGATGCTGGCCTCCATGTTGTCCCTGTGTTGATGTTGTCCCCCGTGTTGTCCCTGTGTTGATGTTGTCCCCATGTTGTCCCTGTGTTGATGCTGTCCTCCATGTTGTCCCTGTGTTGATGCTGTCCACCATGTTGTCCCTGTGTTGATGTTGTCCCTGTGTTGATGCTGTCCACCGTGTTGATGCTATCCACCATGTTGTCCCTGTGTTGATGCTGTCCTCCATGTTGTCCCTGTGTTGATGTTGTCCCTGTGTTGATGCTGTCCACCATGTTGTCCCTGTGTTGATGTTGTCCCCTGTGTTGTCCCTGTGTTGATGTTGTCCTCCGTGTTGTCCCTGTGTTGATGCTGTCCACCATGTTGTCCCTGTGTTGATGTTGTCCCCTGTGTTGTCCCTGTGTTGTTGTTGTCCCCCATGTTGTCCCTGTGTTGATGCTGTCCACCATGTTGTTCCTGTGTTGATGCTGTCCTCCATGTTGTCCCTGTGTTGATGTTGTCCCCTGTGTTGATGCTGTCCACCATGTTGTCCCTGTGTTGATGTTGTCCCCCGTGTTGTCCCTGTGTTGATGTTGTCCCCCATGTTGTCCCTGTGTTGATGCTGTCCACCATGTTGTCCCTGTGTTGATGTTGTCCCTGTGTTGATGCTGTCCACCGTGTTGATGCTTTCCTCCATGTTGTCCCTGTGTTGATGCTTTCCTCCATGTTGTCCCTGTGTTGATGTTGTCCCTATGTTGATGCTGTCCTCCATGTTGTCCCTGTGTTGATGTTGTCCCATGTGTTGATGCTGTCCACCATGTTGTCCCTGTGTTGATGCTGTCCACCATGTTGTCCCTGTGTTGATGTTGTCCCTGTGTTGATGCTGTCCACCATGTTGTCCCTATGTTGATGTTGTCCCTGTGTTAATGCTCTACGCCATGTTGTCCCTGTGTTGATGTTGTCCCTGTGTTGATGCTGTCCACCATGTTGTCCCTGTGTTGATGTTGTCCCTGTGTTGATGCTGTCCACCATGTTGTCCCTGTGTTGATGCTGTCCACCATGTTGTCCCTGTGTTGATGCCGTCCCCCATGTTGTCCCTGTGTTGATGTTGTCCCCTGTGTTGATGCTGTCCACCATGTTTACATTTACATTTTACATTTTAGTCATTTAGCAGACGCTCTTATCCAGAGCGACTTACAGTTAGTGAGTGCATACATTATTTTTTAATACTGGCCCCCCGTGGGAATCGAACCCACAACCCTGGCGCTCCCGGTCACGGCCGGCTACGACAGAGCCTGGATGCATCAACATGGAGGCTCTGTGTTGTCCCTGTGTTGATGTTGTCCCTGTGTTGAGGCCGTCCACCATCTTGTCCCTGTGTTGATGCTGTCCACCATGTTGTCCCTGTGTTGATGTTGTCCCCTGTGTTGTCCCTGTGTTGTTGTTGTCCCCCATGTTGTCCCTGTGTTGATGCTGTCCACCATGTTGTTCCTGTGTTGATGCTGTCCTCCATGTTGTCCCTGTGTTGATGTTGTCCCCTGTGTTGATGCTGTCCACCATGTTGTCCCTGTGTTGATGCCGTCCTCCATGTTGATGCATGGGATCTGTTGTCCCTCCAGAGAGCAGTCTTCCAGGGCTTATCTCAAGAGGCTTTATCTGGCTGCATCCACTCCCTGCTCAAAGCCTCTGATGTCATCCTCAAGAACAAGGTTGGTGCAGATTTATTTCAGGCACAAGACAATGCAATGCACGTAATGCGTTACGTTATACACTCAGTGGCCAGTTTATTAAGTACACCACCCCGTTCCCGAAAATGGTTTGATTCAACAGACAGTGAGTTACATAGCAGTGGCTTGCTATATTAAAGCAGGCAGACAGGCATCAAGGCATTCACTTACTGTTGGATTGTACGTTAGAATGGGCAAAACGAGTGACCTAAGTGACTTTGAGCGTGGTGTGATCGTCGGTGCCAGGCACGTCAGTTCTCCTGGGCGTTTCACGCACGACAGTGTCTAGGGTTTAGAGAATATGGTGCAACAAACAAAAAAAACATCCAGTCAGCAGCAGTCCTTTTGGGTGAAAACAGCTCGTTGATGAGCGGTCGAAGGAGAATGGCAAGAATGGTGCAAGTTAACAGGCGGTCCACAAACAGGCAAATAACGGCGCAGTACAACAGTGTTGTGCAGAACGGCATCTCATAACGCACAACTCGTCGATCCTTGTCACGGATGGGCTATTGCAGCAGACCACCACACCGGGTTCCACTCCTATCAGCTAAAAACAAGAAGCGGCTCCATTGGACAAGCGATCACGAAACACTGGACAATTAAGGACTGGAAAAACCATTGCCTGATCCGACAAATCCCGGTTCCTGTTGCATCATGCTGATGGCAGAGTTAGGATTTGTCATAAGAAGCGTGAGTCCATGGCCCATCCTGCCTAGTGTCAACAGTACAGGCTGGTGGCGGTGGTGTAATGGTGTTTCCATTCCCCGCAGAATTCAGCTTGTTCTGGAGGCCAAGGGCGGTCTGACCCGGTACTAGATGGGTATACCTAATAAACTGGCCACTGAGTGTACATTTCTGACTGTAAAGGTTGTCATTCCAAAACAACTGTAGCCTTACCATTCACCTGTTCACCTTTTTTTTCTTCTGTAGAAATGGGTCAATACTGGTTTTCCTTTTGGGGAAAAGGTTAACGTTTTAATATTCAAGATGTTATAGTTACCGGTATGGTTTCATCTTGTGCAGACGCAGGTAGACGGTCAGCTGTTTCTGATAAAACACCTGCTGATCATGAGGGAACAGATCGTCCCATTCCACACAGACTTTGCCATCAAGGAGATCTCTCTGGACCTGAAGAGAACCAGAGGTGAGGTGATGATGAGGAGGAGGAAGAGAAGACGTTCCTTAAAACCTGTCAAACATTAGGATGGCCGTTGTGTCCATATACACACATGGCTATTATAATAGTGTTAATAACTAGAGTTGCTGTATAGACTTCCGTAGCTGTCGGTAGAAGTGCTCCTGTTCTGGTACTCATTTCAACCAAGGGCAGATTTAATTTGTAACACTAGAGAGCACTCTAATCCTTCTTCAGCAAGATCAATCTTTTCTTTTTCAAATCAGATGCTGCCTTCAAAATGATGAACCCCAAATCTGTACCTAGTTTCTTCAGACTCAACAGCCACAACGCCATCCTAGAATTTCTCTTAGAGGTAAAGTTTTTGATTTAGTTTAAATATAATATACACATATAGGACCAGGAGTTTCTATGTCAGGAACTATATGTAATTTGAGAGGTCCCTCATCTACAGTACCACGTCTAGTAACTAACTAACTAACCTCTGACTGTTGGACCACATCTACAGTACCACGTCTAGTAACTAACTAACTAACTAACTAACTAACTAACTAACTAACTAACTAACTAACCTCTGACTGTGGGACCTCATCTACAGTACCACGTCTAGTAACTAACTAACTAACCTCTGACTGTTGGACCTCATCTACAGTACCACGTCTAGTAACTAACTAACTAACCTCTGACTGTTGGACCTCATCTACAGTACCACGTCTAGTAACTAACTAACTAACCTCTGACTGTTGGACCTCATCTACAGTACCACGTCTAGTAACTAACTAACCTCTGATTGTTGGACCTCATCTACAGTACCACGTCTAGTAACTAACTAACCTCTCTCTCTCTGTTGGACCTCATCTACAGTACCACGTCTAGTAACTAACTAACTAACTAACCTCTGACTGTTGGACCACATCTACAGTACCACGTCTAGTAACTAACTAACTAACCTCTGACTGTTGGACCTCATCTAAAGTACCACGTCTAGTAACTAACTAACCTCTCTCTCTCTGTTGGACCTCATCTACAGTACCACGTCTAGTAACTAACTAACTAACCTCTAACTGTTGGACCACATCTACAGTACCACGTCTAGTAACTAACTAACTAACCTCTGACTGTTGGACCTCATCTACAGTACCACGTCTAGTAACTAACTAACCTCTCTCTCTCTGTTGGACCTCATCTACAGTACCACGTCTAGTAACTAACTAACTAACTAACCTCTGACTGTTGGACCACATCTACAGTACCACGTCTAGTAACTAACTAACTAACCTCTGACTGTTGGACCTCATCTACAGTACCACGTCTAGTAACTAACTAACTAACCTCTGACTGTTGGACCTCATCTACAGTACCACGTCTAGTAACTAACTAACTAACTAACTAACTAACTAACTAACTAACTAACCTCTGACTGTTGGACCTCATCTACAGTACCACGTCTAGTAACTAACTAACTAACTAACCTCTGACTGTTGGACCTCATCTACAGTACCACGTCTAGTAACTAACTAACCTCTGACTGTTGGACCTCATCTACAGTACCACGTCTAGTAACTAACTAACTAACCTCTGACTGTTGGACCTCATCTACAGTACCACGTCTAGTAACTAACTAACTAACCTCTGACTGTTGGACCTCATCTACAGTACCACGTCTAGTAACTAACTAACTAACCTCTGACTGTTGGACCACATCTACAGTACCACGTCTAGTAACTAACTAACTAACCTCTGACTGTTGGACCTCATCTACAGTACCACGTCTAGTAACTAACTAACTAACTAACCTCTGACTGTTGGACCTCATCTACAGTACCACGTCTAGTAACTAACTAACTAACTAACCTCTGACTGTTGGACCTCATCTACAGTACCACGTCTAGTAACTAACTAACTAACCTCTGACTGTTGGACCTCATCTACAGTACCACGTCTAGTAACTAACTAACTAACCTCTGACTGTGGGACCTCATCTACAGTACCACGTCTAGTAACTAACTAACTAACTAACCTCTGACTGTTGGACCACATCTACAGTACCACGTCTAGTAACTAACTAACTAACTAACTAACCTCTGACTGTTGGACCTCATCTACAGTACCACGTCTAGTAACTAACTAACTAACTAACCTCTGACTGTTGGACCTCATCTACAGTACCACGTCTAGTAACTAACTAACTAACCTCTGACTGTTGGACCTCATCTACAGTACCACGTCTAGTAACTAACTAACTAACTAACCTCTGACTGTTGGACCACATCTACAGTACCACGTCTAGTAACTAACTAACTAACCTCTGACTGTTGGACCACATCTACAGTACCACGTCTAGTAACTAACTAACTAACCTCTGACTGTTGGACCACATCTACAGTACCACGTCTAGTAACTAACTAACTAACCTCTCACTGTTGGACCACATCTACAGTACCACGTCTAGTAACTAACTAACCTCTGACTGTTGGACCACATCTACAGTACCACGTCTAGTAACTAACTAACCTCTGACTGTTGGACCACATCTACAGTACCACGTCTATTAACTAACTAACTAACTAACTAACCTCTGACTGTTGGACCACATCTACAGTACCACGTCTAGTAACTAACTAACTAACCTCTGACTGTTGGACCACATCTACAGTACCACGTCTATTAACTAACTAACTAACTAACTAACCTCTGACTGTTGGACCTCATCTACAGTACCACGTCTAGTAACTAACTAACTAACTAACTAACTAACTAACTAACCTCTGGCTTTTGGACCTCAGGGATCACCAGAGATAAAAGAACACTACATCGACTCGAAGAAGGACGTAGACCGCCACCTGAAGTTCAGCTGTGAGCAGTTCATCCAGCAACAGAATCAACTCTCTGTGGGGAATCTGGAGGAGTTCCTCACCAAGGTAACGTGTCAATCAGACAGAGAGGAGGTGTTTCTCACCAAGGTAACGTGTCAGCCTGACAGAGGAGAGGACAGGCAGACGTAGCCTGGGGCTCAGACTGCACAACACGACCTTGGGCTTTCTCTTCCCTTTTTGCTTTTTGAACAGTTACATTTTTCTGGTAATTCACTGTTCAGTAAAACTGAAAATATAAAAGGCCTATTGAAAGGTGAATGTTATTCTATTGTGAATCTAGGCCTATTCAAATTTGATGGGTTTAGTTCCAATCATGCCAATCATCCATTGTCTTCTGACGTTGGAGCTGAGCCAATCCGAGGACTTTGGCGAGGAGAGAAAATCTCCAGCCCGCCTCCCGTAGTCATAGTACTATTTTCCTCGGCAGTCAATCTCTTTTGTGTTCACACAGCAAATACCTTGGAAGTCGTTGGCCACTCAGCCTTGTTAAAATACTCCTTACCAGAAGGTGACAGTAGCATTTCTTGGCAATGCATGTCAGGGAGTGTTGCTTAGTTTATGGTGTAGATTCCAATGTTAGCTAGTTGTGCTAATGCTGATATTTTGTAGAAAGACGTTGTTGATACTAGCCAGATGGCCACAGCTAGATAACTACCTAGCAAGATGACGAAGAAACAATTGAATTCACTCTCCGTAATCCCATACTGCCAGTGCCAGCCCATAGCCAAATGTTTAACTAGCTAACATTAGCGTATTCGCTAGGGATAGATCGAGATTTACAGAATGGGTACCTGGAGGAAAACGGGGGAGGGTCATGCTTTTTCCATTTCAGTCAAGGGGAGGGTTTAGTACTTTTCAAATCCAGGGGAGGGTCATGTCATTGATGACATTTTAATAATTCTCATTGTTTTAGAATTAGTTGATTATTAGGCTATACGCTGAGTATACCAAACATTAGGAACACCTTCCTAATATCGAGTTGCAGCCCCCCCCCCCCTTTTGCCCTCAGAACAACCTCAATTCATTGGGGCATGGACTCTGCAATGTGTCGAAAGCGTTCCACAAGGATGCTGGCCCACGTTGACTCCAATGCTTCCCACAGTTGTGTCAAGTTGGCTGGATGTCCTTTGGGTGGTGGACCATTCCTGATACACACGGGAAACAAACATTAGGAACATTAGGGGTGGAGTTGTGCTCTCTGATTGGCTCAACGTCAAGTTGTTGGCCACTGACGAGCATTCTACAAGTAGAATCGGTAGGTTCGTTGCTACCAGGTTGGTACGCAGAAGGGTACCGCTTCTGTTCTAGCAAGAGATGGAATAGCCTCCCACCGTGATGAGTAGTCTATTGGCAGTGAGCTTCTCGGTGTGTTCTCATGTTACAGCCTGAATTAAAAATTGATAACATTTTGATTGTCACTTGCCTACACACAAAAAATGTCTGCTGCATTGAAGATCCCCAAGAACACAGTGGCCTCCGTCATTCTTAAATGGAGGAAGTTTGGAACCACCAAGACTCTTCCTAGAGCTAGCCGCCCGGCCAAACTGAGCAATCGGGGGAGAAGGGCCTTGGTCAGGGAGGTGACCAAGAACCTGATGGTCACTCTGACAGAGTTCTAGAGTTCCTCTATGGAGATGGGAGAGCCTTCCAGAAGGACAACCATCTCTGCAGCACTCCACCAATCAGGCCTTTATGGTAGAGTGGCCAGACGGAAGCCATTCCTCAGTAAAAAGGCACATGACAGCCCGCTTAGAGTTTGCCAAAAGTCACCTAAAGACTGTCAGACCAAGAGAAACAAGATTCTCACGTCTGGAGGAAACCTGGCACCATCCCTACGGTGAAGCATGGTGGTGGCAGTATCATGCTGTGGGGATGGTTTTCAGCGGCAGGGACTGGGAGACTAGTCAAGATCAAGGGAAAGATGAACCTCAGGACCTCAGACTGGGGTGAAGATTCACCTTCCAACAGGACAACGACCCTAAGCATACAGCCAAGACAGCGCAGCAATGGCTTCTGGACAAGTCTCTGAATGTCCTTGAGTGGCACAGCCAGAGCCTGGACTTGAACCCGATCAAACATCTCTGGAGAGACCTGAAAATAGCTGTGCAGCAACGCTCCCCATCCAACCTGACAGAGCTTGAGAGGATCTGCAGAGAAGAATGGGAGAAACTCCCCAAATACAGGTGTGCCAAGCTTGTCACGTCATACCCAATAAGACTCAAGGCTGTAATCACTGCCAAAGGTGCTTCAATAAAGCACTGAGTAAAGGGTCTGAATACTTATGTAAATGTTATATTTCCGTTTTTACAAAATGTGCTAAAATTTCTAAAAACCTGTTTTTGCTTTGTCATTATGGGATATTGTGTTTGTGTGTGTGTGTTGATTGAGGGGGGGAAAAAACAATTTAATCAATTTTAGAATAAGGCTGTAACGTAACAAAATGTGGAAAAAGTCAAGGGGTCTGAATACTTTCCGAATGCACGATAAGTCAGTTCACCAATGACAACAAGGCATGTTGAATAAATGGTAGCCTAGTAGTCAGACCTAACTTGATGGATTAGGTGAGGGATGGAGATCTGACACAAGCTCCTATAGGGCTAGTTCAGTTGTTTCATATTCCAAATAACCGACAGTAAGCTAGACTACTATAAAATTAAGAAGAAGCCAGTTTACATTTTCACTAGACTATCCACATAAAGACACCTATTAATATGAATAATCATTACCCCTACATTTAACCTAGAAAAATGTGAAAGTGTCATTGAGACCACCTCAATTTCATTTATGATCAAACACCCGACTTCTGTGTTGGCTACATTGTTTGATATAATTTAAGACTCTAGGTTTCAGGAAATGGAAGTTACAGGTTTTTCAAAAATGCAAAAATTATTCGGAGGAATTTGGCTGACCCCCTCCGGACCTCCCCCCTACCCAACCTTAGGCCTACATCAGCACCACCTTGTTAGAAAATCCCTCCGATTTCAGATTCAGGAGATCCCTGATTTGTACAAATTTAAACATATTTCTAGTTAGCTAATGAAGAGCAGCCAATTACCAAGTACCCATAACAGTCTATAACCTACCATTCCTACTGAGGCAGTCTTCTGCCAGCTATTAGTAGGCAACAAAAGGTTTATTTCCCTATGATTTGAGCAGTGTGGGGGGGGGCCTGGGGAGGCCGGGGGGGCCACCGCAGCACTGAAGTGGCACTCATAAACATTCTTCAAGGTTGGTAGGTGTGAGATCACTCATGTTGTCCCTGACTGGGGATGATGGGGACTTGTTTTGTTTCAGGTGTCCGCTCTGAAAACCACGGTGATCCAAGGAGGTCCTACCTACGGCCTCTCTCAACAACCTTGGGCTCAGCCAGGTAAGAAACAGCAGCATCATATTTCAGTGGAACCTCTAAATCGTGTGGTGAAAGGAAGGCATGGAACTGAAAAATGACTCTTTGTGTCTCCCCTTTTAGCCAAGATCAACGACATAGTGATGGCTACTTACCGGGTGATGAAGAGCAAGCTGCCAAGCACGTTACAAAGCATGTCCTTGTACCTGGCCAACAGAGACGCAGAGTTTATCCTCTTCAAGCCTGTCCGGGTGGGTGTCTGTTAGACACTGGAGGAATTGAAACTCTCATTATTTTTCCAACCCTGTGCTGGCCTGGTCCCAGATCTGTTTGCGGTGTCCTGCCAAAAATGAGAAGACGGCACAAGCAGATCTGGGGCCAGGCTTACCCTGTTCAGGAGCTCATGGGGGGGTTTGGTACACACCTACAAAATAAATAGACCTTTTCAGCAGGTGCTGAGGCTGAGTAATGCGCAGTTACCCTTTTCAGCCTTGATCCTGCTTGTTAAAGAGAAAGCATTGTTCAGTAATTACGGTGGCTTTCTGTGTCAGGCTAAGTGCTAATCTAAGCGACTCTTAAGTGCACAACAACGCCGTTGACATGGCAACTGGGATACAAAGGGGACCGGCGATGGTGTAATTTCTCTCCAGCAGCTCTTGTAGCTAGCATGAAGTTTTCTCCCAACAGAACAACATTCAGCAGGTGTTCCAGAGACTGCACACCTTGATTCAGGAGGAATAGAGCGGCGAGGACCTTCAGATCATCGCTTGCCCTTCTATGGACCAGGTAAGGTTTGTACAAGGCTACACTACAAAATCATAACCTAGGGCATGGTAGTACAAGGTTCGTCGCTCTCACACTGTTGGATCTCAAGGTCTTTTTACAAGTGTATTTATTCAACTTTGATTTGTTCAGGTTATCCGATTGGGATCACAATATATTTTTCACTGTGTGTAGTGGCGTCTGGAGTGACATGCTGGATGTTGTTGGTGTTAGCCCTCAGTGCTTCTGCTCTCTCTCTCTTCAGATTAACCTGCTGTTGTCTGTGAATAAGTAGCCTGAAGGGGGGTTGGTCAGTATCGAGCTCTGCCTGGTCTGGGCAGACAGCAGTGTTACTCCTGACCTGGCCAGACCAGGATCCCTCGGTGGAGTGAGAGTCAAGGAAAAATACCACTGGACAGGACTGTGCCAGTCTTTCGCCCTCGGGCCCACCTAGGAAAGACGGCAGGTGCGCAAAAATCCTACACAAGGCCAAATATACACTGACACACAACTGCTCTGAGCATGTCGAGGTCCAGTCAGCCAGTTAGCCATTCAGTCACTCAGTTGGTAGGTAGGATCGTGGGAAATGGAAGATTTTATTTTTGCTACTGATCTTGAATCAACTTTTTTCAACTCAAATTAAAGGTGGTTACGGTTGGACTAGGGCAGTGGTCACCAACCGGGGGATCGACTCTGTCCCCTTTTCTCAGCGGAGAGAGGCAGAGAGTCGGGACGTTGAGTCTGGTCAGAGGCAGCCTCACCTCCCGTCCCCTCAGACTGATGCAGGCCATCAGTCCAGTAAAAAAAAAAAGGATTATTATGCTCAGTCAGCTGTTCCTCACAAGTAATACAACAAATTATCTATTACCAGTGTGATCATATACCTACATTTTGTTAATATAACTTAAAAATGGTCTGAGAACAACATTGGCAGGGCAATTCAAGCATAGCCAATATCCAGTGATAATGCATTGGGCCTATAGCCTACTCCACAAACCTCATTGCTACAGAATTGGTTAATGTTGCATAGGTTTACGTTTTTTAAGTGTAGTTCCCAAAAAAATCTGAGCGGTAGATCACGGGTTGCATTTTGATTCAGTGATCTTGACTCAGAAAATGTTATTAGCTACAGTGGGGAGAACAAGTATTTGATACACTGCCGATTTTGCAGGTTTTCCTACTTACAAAGCATGTAGAGGTCTGTAATTTTTTATCATAGGTACACTTCAACTGTGAGAGACAGAATCTAAAACAAAAATCCAGAAAATCATATTGTATGATTTTTAAGTAATTAATTTGCATTTTATTGCATGACATAAGTATTTGATCACCTACCAACCAGTAAGAATTCCGGCTCTCACAGACCTGTTAGTTTTTCTTTTTAGAAGCCCTCCTGTTCTCCACTCATTACCTGTATTAACTGCACCTGTTTGAACTCGTTACCTGTTTAAAAGACACCTGTCCACACACAACATCAAACAGACTCCAACCTCTCCACAATGGCCAAGACCAGAGAGCTGTGTAAGGACATCAGGGATAAAATTGTAGACCTGCACAAGGCTGGGATGGGCTACAGGACAATAGGCAAGCAGTTTGGTGAGAAGGCAACAACTGTTGGCGCAATTATTAGAAAATGGAAGAAGTTCAAGATGACGGTCAATCACCCTCGGTCTGGGGCTCCATGCAAGATCTCACCTCGTGGGGCATCAATGATCATGAGGAATGTGAGGGATCAGCCCAGAACTACACGGCAGGACCTGGTCAATGACCTGAAGAGAGCTGGGACCACAGTCTCAAAGAAATCCATTAGTAACACACTACGCCGTCATGGATTAAAATCCTGCAGCGCACGCAAGGTCCCCCTGCTCAAGCCAGCGCATGTCCAGGCCCGTCTGAAGTTTGCCAATGTCCATCTGGATGATCCAGAGAAGGAATGGGAGAAGGTCATGTGGTCTGATGAGACAAAAATAGAGCTTTTTGGTCTAAACTCCTCTCGCCGTGTTTGGAGGAAGAAGAAGGATGAGTACAACCCCAAGAACACCATCCCAACCGTGAAGCATGGAGGTGGAAACATCATTCTTTGGGGAGGCTTTTCTGCAAAGGGGACAGGACGACTGCACAGTATTGAGGGGAGGATGGATGGGGCCATGTATCGCGAGATCTTGGCCAACAACCTCCTTCCCTCAGTAAGAGCATTGAAGATTGGTCGTGGCTGGGTCTTCCAGCATGACAACGACCCAAAACACACAGCCAGGGCAACTAAGGAGTGGCTCCGTAAGAAGCATCGCAAGGTCCTGGAGTGGCCTAGCCAGTCTCCAGACCTGAACCCAATAGAAAATCTTTGGAGGGAGCTGAAAGTCTGTATTGCCCAGTGACAGCCCCGAAACCTCAAGGATCTGGAGAAGGTCTAATAAATAATAATAATAATAATAATAATATGCCATTTAGCAGACGCTTTTATCCAAAGCGACTTACAGTCATGCGTGCATACATTTTTGTGTATGGGTGGTCCCGGGGATCGAACCCACTACCTTGGCGTTACAAGCGCCGTGCTCTACCAGCTGAGCTACAAAATGGTCTGAGAACAACATTGGCAGGGACCAAAATCCCTGCTGCAGTGTGTGCAAACCTGGTCAAGACCTACAGGAAACGTATGATCTCTGTAATTGCAAACAAAGGTTTCTGTACCAAATATTAAGTTCTGCTTTTCTGATGTATCAAATACTTATGTCATGCAATAAAATGCAAATTAATTACTTAAAAATCATACAATGTGATTTTCTGGATTTTTGATCACAGTTGAAGTGTACCTATGATCAAAATTACAGACCTCTACATGCTTTTTAAGTAGGAAAACCTGCAAAATCGGCAGTGTATCAAATACTTGTTCTCCCCACTGTATATCAACTGCATTTCTCTTAACGTTATCAACGTGCCAAATCAAGAGTTAAGTCTGCACACTCCGTGAGCAAACAAGGGTGAATGTTGAGCGGCAGGAATGAGGAGAGGAGAGAGGTTGATTCATTAGTAAGGTAGCAAATTAGCGACAAGCAGCTGCCACATTTATGCTTCATTTGGTTTCCTTTAATAGATTGAGAGAAAATAATACTGTACAGTATCTAACTTCTCTACGCTTTCCTTTCTCTATGGGACATGGAGATCTCTGGTCTATGGTGGCCTGTGCTGCAGGGCTCTCAGGTTTTAACACAGCTCCCTTGGAAATTGAATATGTTATGGTTATATTTGCCAAATGCTATTCCCACAAATTCAATGAATTACAATGGGAATGTAAACTGCAGCCTCCTCTGTTTTCATCTATGAACATTCTGATTTATAAAAGGATTACAAATTGGAATATCTGCTGTCCTTATCTCATTGTACACACCATACAGAAGTACTAATGTCTCATTGTGCAATTTTAATTGCAAAACCTAACAAAAGCTTCCGAGAATGAATAAGTTGCCTTATCCAATAAAGTATAGCCTTTCATGAAAAATAAACCACACAGGCATACTCTAGTGTTGAATAATATGGCTTCTGTAGCTGTCTGAACAGTGCTTATCCAGAGGTGTCCTCAGTCTCTCCGTCTGTGACAACAGGCTATACTGGGGGGTGGAATCGCGGCCTGTTGCTAGGTGATTTGGCTCTGGATCCTCTGCAGCAGGTTGTAGATCTCTGCACTCTTCATGTGTAGGTGTCTCTGGCCTTGTCCGCCAGCATCAGCGCCAACTGCGGAAAAGCAAAGTCATATATCATATAGATGCCATTTACCAGACTTCTTATGGTCACGCGTGCAAACATTTTACGTATGGGTGGTCCCAGGAATCGAACCCACTCTCCTAGCACTGCAAGCGCCATGCTCTACCAACTGAGCTACAGAGGACCGGAGATCAGTCTTGATATGAGTGGGTGTTAGGAGAGAACTGCAGAAAGAATGTGACCCCTGTGAGTCACTTCAGTGGCCATTTATAAATCACAGTGTGCTAATTGTGCTTCTAACTAGGGCTGTTAAGGTGACCGTATTACCGGCAGTCAAATTCCACATGACCATTTAGTCACGGTAATTAGGCTTCTCCAAGCTCTGATGCTGCTGATGGTCATTAGTAGCCTACCAAACATGTTAACTGCCTGGTACTCAGCACTCTATTGTCCCTCTAATCACTCTGACATCAATGCAAATGTGATTGAAAATGTAATCAAACACTTCGAGGGCCCATTAGCTCATGTTGCGCAACATTTCTATAGGCTATGCAACATTTCTATAGGCTATGTAATTGCGTGAGAAAACTGAGTGATGGCCTCTTAAAAAGAGGAGGATCCCATCAGCTTTCTATAGGCTAGGCCTACTATATTTATTTCTCAACTTTCCTAATATTAAGCACATTGCTTCTCTTTACAACAGGAGTATAGCCTACATGGCTGGTACGCTATTTAAGATGACGTATTTCTTTCCGCTGCCCCTGTTTTGAGACAGGTGCATGATAATGGTCCATTCTAAATCAAAACAGATTACACACATTTATTATTTTGTATATTTAAAGACTAAATTAAATCAAGAATAGTGTGATGTGTGACAATATTAGCCTATCACTTGTGAATTATTTATTATCACTTGTGAATGATGCCCAGCTTAAGGCAAATGTTTTTGTGACTTTTTCAAATCCTAGTCGCACACCTCATGTAGCCTACCCCATAGGCCTATATGTTTTGATAAGGTTTGTATCACAACTAAAGTGGACAAATAACTTATGAAAAATTAAGCACATTAATCCGCTGTACAAGGGGTGTAGAGCCTAACTGGCATACGTACGCAGCGCATGAGTTTCAAGTTTGGGGAAGACCATTTTCACCATAAAAATGCACCTTTATAATAAAAGCAATACATGCATAATCGCATTTGTGGTCCCTTTTTAGAATGGTGTTTTCCTGCTAATAGACATTTGCGCTTATAGCCTACTGCCGTGTGCGCATTGCTGCGCTTATAATGTGAAGAAATAGCCTAATAGTTTATCAACATTTTAAGCTAAACGTTCTCATCTGTTGCGTCAGGCCCATTGCTTAAAACAGGTTAAAACAGGTTTTTTGATGCTAGTGGTTGTATTAATTTGGGATCTATCCCATCCCACAACTGTCCCAGACTATGTTTGGAATATTTATTTCTCGCACAGAGTAGGTCAACTTTTGTACTATGGGGGACAGTAGATTGACGTAGGCTATTGCTTCTTCTGTTCGTTAGGCCTACTCATCTTGTCGGCTGGCGAAAAGTAAATGTGGACAGTTCTTCCAATATCTTCAATATGCGCCTCGGAATTGGATAAGGATGTGCGCAGTTGTCTGTCTTCACTTGTAGCCTGTGAGAAAGACCCGATCGCGTGACTGAGAGCCATGTGAGTAAGAGGTGCTTCAGAACATGCAGCCTGGAGAAGGGAATTATAATTATTATATTCATCCCGA